GGGAAAAAATTTGATCCAGTGACTGAAGGGACATTGTTTGAAGAAAAGTTTCGCATGCTTAACTCTGGACAAAGAAAGGCTTTCGACATAATCAGGGCAGCCATTGAAAACCCTGACTTACCCAACCGTCTCTTCTTTATTGATGGACCAGGAGGAAGTGGTAAAACGTTCCTATACAACACAATCATGCACTACGTACGCAGCAAAAAGGAATTGGTCTTGCCATGTGCATTTACGGGCATAGCAGCAACTTTACTTGAGGGAGGCATAACATCACACAGCCGTTTTAAGCTGCCTATTCCAATAAATGAAACATCCACATGTAATGTGCGACACGGGACAAATACGGCGAACGAGCTTAAAAAGGCCAAAGTGATAATCTGGGATGAAGCTTCAATGGTCCCAGCACATGGAGTTGATGCAGTTGACTCACTTTTTAAAGAGCTTTTAGCTGAAAACCCACACGTTCCTTCTAGGAAACCGTTTGGGGGTGCTGTTTTTCTATTCGGTGGCGATTTTCGACAAATTCTCCCTGTTGTTCCACATGGCAGTAGAACTGAAATAGTTTCCTCATGCATGAAGAACAGCAAATGTTGGAATCACATTCAGGTCTTAAAGTTAGACCAAAACATGCGTGCTAATGACCAGAACGATCTGTTACAAACCCGGGATTTTTCAGAATGGCTTTTAAAACTTGGTGATGGAAAACTACAAGAGCCGGGACTAGAGGAAGACATCTTTGAAGTTCCACCAGTCTGCATCGAAAACGGGTGTATTGTAGATGCCGTCTTTCCTGGGGTCATCGTACCAGGTGATGAAAGCATTGCTAACCGGGCCATCCTAACACCAAAAAACCAGGAATCTATCGAACTAAATGAAATGATTCTAACAAGAGTTCAATCGGAATTAAAATGCTATCAGAGTATCGATTCCATTCAGCAAGACAGTACAAATGCAGAGGAGGCAGCAAACTATCCATTGGAGTTTTTGAACAGTCTAACACCTGGAGGTATGCCACCTCATAGACTTAATTTGAAAGTTGGGTCAGTTGTTATGTTGCTCCGAAACCTTGATTCCACCAGAGGCCTTTGCAATGGCACCAGAATGGTCGTCAAGCAGCTAATGTCAAAAGTCATAGACTGCGAAATAATGATCGGGTCGTTTAAAGGCACGAGAGTGTTCATACCAAGAGTTATTCTTTCGCCCAGTGACTCCAACCTTCCCTTCACGTTAAGAAGGAAACAGTTTCCATTGAGACTTGCTTTTGCCATGACGATAAATAAAAGCCAAGGACAAACAATGGATACTGTAGGCATTTATTTGCCTTCACCAGTTTTTAGTCATGGGCAACTCTATGTAGCATTCTCAAGATCCAGGTCATTTCAGAGAATCAAAGTAAAAGTAATAGGAACTAAACAGCAAGGCAATTTAAAGAAAGATCACAGAATTTACACCAAAAATGTGGTCTATAAAGAAGTTTTTGCCAATTAGTTAAACTTCATAGCCAGCCGTGGCTTTATTAAACAAACGGCCGTGTATTCCATCAAGGAACGCATGCGTGGGGCAGCACATGGAAGGGGGTCCACGTCCCTTGCCCTGGGTGAAAACTATTTACTTTTTGTTTTCAGCTAACGCTTCCATAAAAAAATATTCCCACCAGCCTGGGGGTAGGAACATAGCATGCTACGGCTGATCCTCATTTGAACTGTTCTATTCATTAGAAAACTATAAATTTCAACTTCTTAGCGAATCATGGTTACTTTGTAAGGTAATCTGTTAACCAACAATTGTTCTATAAGGTTATATTTTTTTCGGTTTAGTTACATGATTTTAATTTTGTTCTATTCCTAAATTTGTACATTTAAAAAAGTTTAACCGTGGCGAAGCACGGGTATGCAGCTAGTATATATATATATATATATATAGTATATATATAGTATATATGTATAGGTTATATATATATATATATATATGTAGGCCATTTATATATAGCCTATATATATATAGTCTAGATATATGCTCTATTAGCTATATATGTATGTATAATGCATAGGGCGTAAAATAAATATACAAAAATTAATCATAGAGGGATAAACTGTGATGTGATAATTATAGCCGCTAAACTAATAGAAAATTTAAAAGCTAAGCCGTTTAAATTTAAGGTCTCCTCTATTGTCCTAGAAATTAATATTTATTACAGGTCCATTTAAATACATGTTTAAAGGGGTTTGTTAGTTGTTGTTTGTTTGTTTTTGTTTGTTTGTTTGTTTTTCAGAATTTTTTTTTTATTCTTTAGATTAATAGAAAAAGCATTTTGGAAGCTTAAGTTTGTTAAAGAACGACTCACATTTTTACTATTTTAACTATTGAAAAAGGTTTTTATTTATTTTAGTGTATTTAAAATCACGTTATTAATTATAAACGTTTTAAACATGTTTTACTATTTCGTAATTACAATTTGAAAATAAACCGGGAGTAATCTCCCTTAAACTTTCTCGAATATTCTTATATAACACTACGTGGGATGGCAATATAGACATGATTTTTAATTACTTAAACTTTTAAAAATAGAATAGAATATCGTAGAAAAAAGAATTGCGCACCAAGCGAACGCCAAACAAAATGTGCATAATAGTGCGCAATATTATTAGTACTTTATAAATTTACATGCGTTTTTTGAGAAATCGGAAATAGCGTATATTACTACTTTCGGTCAAAGGAAATTACTCAAAAATTGACAGAAGGTAGAGGATTAGATATTTTACTTACATGTGAAATTTCATTTATCTATATGAAATAGTACTCAAGTTATAGGTTTTTGAAAAATTCAACGTAGAAAAAGTACCACTTCCGCTTTTCGGAAATCGCTTAAAAGTTGATACGGATCTACGATTTTGATAAAATACTTATATATGACATTTCATTAACCTAGCTGTAACGGTACTCAAGTTGTCGTGTTTACAGACACACAGACAGACAGACACACATACACACAGACATACGGACAAGATTGCAAAATTATGTTTTTCCGTATCAGGGAGGTGTAAAACGTCGAGATTTGTAAAAATCTCGTTTTTTTTTTTTTTGCACGATTACAATATTTTCTCTATACTTCGTATATACGAGAAAGAAAAAAGCAGAAAATTCATTATTTTTATGTATTCAAAAATTAATCTTACAACATCTATCATTTTTATTTCGATCGGTACACATTTGATTTAAAAGCGTACATGATTATAAATATATATATATATATATATATATATATATATATATATATATATATTTATATACTAGCTGTATGCCACTGCTTCGCTATGGTGTAAAATAATTTGAAAGTAGTACTCCGAAGAAATTAAGAAAAAAAACACACATTTATGTGGGCTGACAAAACAAAACAATTTCTCACTCTAAACAAAAAAAAAAGCGAACAAAATATACACACAATACAACCAAAAACAATGAACGCAACACAATCTGTTTTTTAATCCTTGTAAAAAAAAATGACTTAATGGTTCCTGGAATATTAATTAAAACAAGCGAACTAGGGGAAATAATCACTATCTTATATAGGTATGTATTTATCTACACATTTGATTGTAAATCAAAACAGATCAATAATTACTTTAGTATGTAATAAAGTTGCTTAACACTATTCGTTTATACATAAATATGTTGTCTACAATCAGAATTAAATATATTGCCATCAAAAAAGCTTTAATTTAATGAAAGTTTTTGAAATCATAGTTGGTATAATATTAAAAAAAATAATCAATCTAATAGGTGGAACATTCTGAATAATAGCCTACAAAAACTAAAATATTGGTATTGCAGTTCAGATCATAATTTTATAATTAGCTACTGCTTTTTGTGTTCTTTAAAGATCATTTTTTTAAAAATATAACGATAAGGTATGGGTTAGATCACTGTATTGCTCACACACCTCTTTACTTGTAATTGCAAAAACAATATTCACAGAGTTTTACCTGTTTCAAAGCTATGATTATGGTACCTCATCACGCGTTTTCCTAAATTATACTTAACAGTTCAGTTCGGGGTGGGTTGTGTGTGTGGGGGGGGGGGGGGGGGTTCAACTTCATTCACCACTGTCTGGTCACTTTAGGTCTATTATCTTACCCAGCGTATACCTAGGTGAGACATTTGCACAATTACGGCCTGTCCCGTTCTGGTAGTGAGGTTGGGGCGGGGATAGCCAACTCAGAGTGAACATAGCGTCAGTTTTTAGATGACTGTTCTCATTAGTTCTCAACATACATATATAATTATACATATATACTGATTTAGAGATATATTAAAATAAGTAACAGTACCGCCCCTCGATAGGCCCTACTCTGTAGGCCTATACGAGAAAGTAAAAATCGTGTGATATTCAAAGGGAAACAACAATGACTATTTACCAATAACTTGATTCACTCTGTAGTTAAACCCCTTGAATACAATCGATGGTCTACTTGCCACATTGGATTGCCATTAAACTGAATATTTTGAATTATTTTAATTTTTAAGATTATGCAGCTAATTTTACTATTTTATCAGTCAGTTCCTCTGATAAATTAATAAATCTGTTTTTATAGAATTTTTCGATTCAAAATATATCTGTGGTTTATATATATTATTTTATTTATTTCTCATTTTTATGTTTAGCATAATTTTTTTTTGTCATTTAGGTCTAACAGCCGTGAAGATCTTATAATTTCAACAAGTTATTGGTTTCAATGTTAATAATTTTGTGAGAAAGAATAAATATTAATTATACAAAATCAGTGAAGTAGTTTTTTTTATAAATATAACGTTTCAAAATACATGCACAAACTTAGAATATATCTGGCAGAACTTTGAATATAGATTAACCAAAAATGACCCAGAATTCCACCGGCGGAACTCTCCGTTTTATCATGTTCAAGACGCCATATTTGTAATTTTGCCTCCATTTCTGAAGATTATTGATGTTGTGGAACTCTTCTTCTATGTACCAAAGACGAATTTTTTTAATTTCTAAAATTTGTTTACTTTCGTTTTTATAAACCTACACTCACGAAATGTATTTTGTTCCCACTTTATGTTTAATTAAGCTGAATAAAAGTCTGTTTTTAATAGAGGGGATGAGACTGTATCTCTCAGTAAACTGCAACTGATACTGAGCTTTCCCCCAACGATGGGGACGTGGGATCAGGATTCTGAGTCTCTGCTCAGTTCTGTTGAGAAGACCAGCAAAGTTTTTAAGTCCAAATCTAAAAATAACGATTTCAAGACCTAGATCGAGGTCTAATATTGAACGATGTAACCTCAATCTACTATTTAATAGTATTTACTATTTATTTATTTAGGCCTAACATCTGTTTTAAAATCTAACTTAACTCCTGATCTAGGATCTACGCACTAGAACTAGCCACTAGAGTGATCTAGATCTAGAGATCTATATTTAATATTAAAATATTTCAAAAATAATAATATTTCATTATTTTAGAATAGATGTAGATCTAGGTAGGTAGACCAAAATAATTTGGGAAATTTGTTAGACCTGGAAAAAGTTATGGATAATATTTATTAACTTTTTAAGAATCTCCACTTAGCAGAATGAGGAACCCCCCCCCCCCCCCGCCGAATTGACTAGATCTAACTAAACATAAATAATCAATATCATTAAAACACTACAGTACACAGTGGTATCCTATCAAAGTATAAATTCTTTTGCCAGTACAGCTGTAGTCATAGTATGATAGTAGTCTGATTCTGAAGTGTTGTTAGTATTCGTTTGGGTTGGGTATAATAAGGTTACTAAATATTGTAGCCAATACCAGCTTAAACAAAACCTCCAAAATGCCTATCAGTGTCATAATCAGAGCTTTTGATAGTTAGGCCTGTCCTGCAGTTTTTTCAACTGTTCATCTAGACTTAATTTCCAGGAAAAAAATTAATTAGCCTAGGGCCTACAAAAAATAAATATAATAAAAGTAGAAGAAGATAGACATGCATCACTGACACCATTTTGATTTTTTGAAGGTAAAATGAAGAAAGGAACCAAGATTGTCCCAATATCCGGCTCTGGAGGAATTAAACCTAACATTGTTACAACGCTTGTGAAAAAAGATGAGCAATCAGCTGAACAGAGCAAAGAAACTCCCAAAAAGACTGCTTTAAAAAAATCTAAAGATGTGAGCAAAGAAATGAATGAAAACAGTCCTAAATCTGTCACAAAAACTTCTGCTGCTGTCCATGAAGATACAAAAAGTCAATGTACACCAAAGATGGAAAGCACAATTAAAAAAGAGGCCCTGAGTGAAGGATCAGAGTTGTTTACACCATCATCTGCAGTACGTAGGAGCGGAAGGGCGCCCGTTCCATCAAGTAAATTCAAAGACATGGAGGTGGACCTTGTAGCCATTCGTAAAAGGATATCTGTCACAAATATGTCTGAAGGTAGAACATTTAAATATCATTTTATAGTTTATTACCAATTTCAAATTTCACTACTACCAAAAGAAATGACATTTGTTTTTACTGTTAATCTAGCGTCCCGCCTTAAATTTGTGTCAAAATATAAATTGGAATATTCTTACAGAATCAGAACCTGAACAAGAAGTGCAAAAAAAGAGATCCCACACACAAATAGACAGCAAAACGGAATCTGCAGAACCTCCTAAAAAACGGGGCAGAAAACCAAAGTTTGTATACACTTAATAAATTCTACTATCATTTATTTTAACCCTGTAAATACATATGCTTATAAAGTAGCAGTTATTTTTTCGCAACTGTGACATTTTAGTGTTGATTATTTGTCCAGGGATGACAGATTCACTGCGCAAAATTTGAGAAAACTTGTTTCTAGATGACTGATTCCTTTCCTACTTGGAGAGTTGAGCTAGTCTCTAGTTCTTGTGATCTGTGCAATATTGTGCTTCTGAGGACTTAACATATGTGTTCATTTTATGCATCAAGACTAGAGTAAAAACTATTTCATATTCTATTCCAACAATTATGTTTACTATTTGTACAATTTCTTATTACAGGAACAAACTGCTGAATGTCGATAGAAAAGAAGTTGAAGTAACACCAACATCATCAGAGGAATCTGTGGAAATCAGAAAAGAGATTAAGCCTGAAATAGATGAAAAGGAAGTAATGTCTACTGTAGATGTGGAAAATAAAGCTGCTCAAAACATAGAACAAGCTGTGGAAAATAAAGTGCTCACATCCAATATAAACGAATCAATGGAAGTCCCTACAGAAGTCCAGTCAGCCCAGTCAAATTTGCCCACTACTATTGAATTAGAGGGCCAGCACATCACCTTAACAGAAAAAGATGGGGAAACAATTGCCATCATCACAATGGTCCCCAACACCCTTAACTCTGATCACACTTTGTTGAAAGAGTTCTCTGTTCCTGAATCCAATTCTGAGTTTGATAAAACTGATACAGTCAGTCTGAAGCATGGTCATATTGTCGGGAAAAAACCAGACCCTGAACCTACTTTTGCTACTGTTGTTGAAAAAGATGGCAACACATATTTAAATCTCTCTGTAGAACCAACAAAAATCTCCTCTGTTCTAAAAGGTATTCATCAGCACCCAAAGGCCAGTAACCCTGTAGCTGGGCATGGCCGTGTAGTCAGGTCTGGTGCTAATTTAGGTAGTGTTGTTGTTAAGACCACCTTACTACAGCCATCCATAGCTCCAACTGTTACCACACCGGGCAAGGAGCCTCATCAAGCCATTAGTATCCTAGAACCCAAGACATCAACTACATATTCTCTACTCCTTCCAAAATTGCATGATGGTACTGGGTCTGAATTAACTGTACAGAAGAACGCACTGCATGGTTCTATTTCCCCTACTCAAACACAGCAGAAACTGGTAGTTGTCAGACAGCCCACTCCTAATAAAACTATTCTGGGAACGTTGCCAAAAAAGACACCACCACCTCTAGTCTGCGCTCCTCAAAACTTGCCCACAACAAAGGATTTCACAACAGTTGTACAGGCTCAAAAAGAACTAGCAGCAACACCTGATTCCAACACAAGGACAGTCGTCAAATCGCTAATTCAACCAGAATCTCCTAAAACAGCTTCAGAGATTCTTGTACAACGCATTCAAGAACAGCAAAAGAGAGTCTTCGTCAAAGAGTTTGTTAACACTGCTGACAATTTGGTTGAAATGTGCACCAGCACAAACCACACTGCTGTTGATCAGGAATCATCAGATGGCTCTAAAATTATCTCCATCGCTAAAGAAACATCTGAGCCAGGTCACATTTTTGGTGGCCAGCATATTTCTGTTCTTGAGGTCAGTACTGATAAACCTGAAGATAATGCTAACCATGAAAACAGTGGTGTTAAAGAAATAGATATGAATCAAGAAGTTGTAGCAGATGTATCTGAGTGTAATCAAGAATCAAATACCATAGTTGCAGAAAATACAGAGGTTACCAGTGATGCGTATCAAAATTTTGAAGAATCGTCTGATCCATCAAAATCAGAATCTGTCTTAACAGACCTTAAGAACGTTGAGTTTAACACGGAAACTTCTGTTCCTGATATGATCAAAAGTTGTGACAGTGTTGTAGATGAGGCAGCCCTAGAGAACATTAAAAATAATATTGGGAAAATAGAAAAACTGAAGGTGCTGGAGAATGGTGTGGAGTTTGTGTATGATGTCAGGGTTGTGTCAGAGGAACAAGTCACAGAGGAGATAGTGGACAACTCACATGAGATGGACCAACTGGTGAGTTAAGTGAATGAAAGTTATATAATACTATTTTCATTTAGGGCTAGAGTTGTTTTATCTATATACGAAAAGTAAATGGTAATTATATTTAGATTGAACAGCTTCAGTTTGTTTATTATGCAATTTAGCTTATTTTTTGCTTTTTTTGTCTAAGAAGCGCAATTTCTGTGGGTATCCATGGTTATTTCTATGAAATAAATGGGAAAAGCAAATATTTGGATAGAAAAGCTAAGCAGTTAATTTAAACCAAATGTGTAGGCTTTACTTTGTCCTCTGGCATTTTTATTTTGCTAGTATTACTCCCATTTAATATTTAGGTTAGGGAAGTGATAGTGATACCAGCCAAAGAATTTTGATCTGTTTCTGTTGAGAATTGTACCATTTGAATCTGTTTTAAGGAATTTTTCTAAAAGTGTTGTCTTAAACAAACTAGTTTAGCTTTAATTTTAATTGTATTGTATAGTGGATTGTTTATTTCACAGTTCAAAATGGGGTGGGAGGGGGAGGAATCTCAGTTGATTTTATTTGAAGTTCTTAAAAGTCATGTTTAAAACATTTGGCATTTAGAATGAAACAAAAGCTAATGATTCAGATGAAACACCAGCAGAGCTCATGTTGAAAGAAGAAGTTGATGATGAGGATAATGAAACTGCAGAAAGTGGAAAGTATGATATTAAACTTTTTTGAATAGATGTTTACTTATGTTAAAAGTATACATAGAATTACTGTAAACTGGTAATATTAATTTGGTTTTTCAATATAAATAAATGCCCTATATTAATCAATTAAGTCCTAAATTAATTATTTCTTATTGTTTAATTCATTTTTTTTTAAAATGATTTTAATTAATTGCTTGGTTTTTTTTTTATTTAACAGACAAACATCTGGTACCCAAACAGTATATTCCCCACAAGTGGAGACCAACGCTTCTGGCGCACCATTACACACACTAACTACTGTAATAGATGAAGAAGGCCAAAAGAAACAAATTTATTATGTGTCTGTTATATCTAATCATAACTCTGTTGGGAAGGTCAAACAAAGTACTGTAAGTGTAATCATCTCTAGTCAATTTTTAAATTTAAAGACTCACATTTCTATTACAGACAAATATTGAAAGTTAAGAAAATGATTTTAAACCTTCTATTGTCAGCATAGCCTAATTCTTGATCCAAATTTTGTACTAGCTGTCATCAAGCTTTACTTTATGAGGTTATTTTTATTTCTTAATATAATTACAGACATGCCTACCGTCCCGCCAAAAGCGGAACCGTTCCGCTTTTTTACCCTCAAAAGTAATTTGTTCCGTCGTTCCGACTTGGACTCGTTTTGTTCCGAATTCTTTTCGAAAATAATCAAAAAAGTTATTTTAAAAAAAGGAAAAAGAAAATTATCAGCAAAAATGCGAATTTCCCCCCAGAAAAGTAGGAAACGGAAGTGAACGGCGTTCCCTGTTTACTTCCGTTTCCTTGTTGAAAAATGCCGAAACGTTCTGTATCTGAGATCGGGGAATCCCCTTCATCGTCAAAAAACGTGTTCAGTGCTTCAGAACGGAATATTCGGAAGAATTTCCTTTTGTCAAAAAAGGAAAGAATTGTGAAACAAATGCTCATTATGAGATTTGTAATTGTGAGTTTAAAATAAACATTACCAAGCACAATGCAAGTGCAAAACACGTGGAGCTAGCTAAGCTAGTCAAAGAATTAAAAAAAGTTGAATTGTTTTTTACTTCGACTAAGCCTAAAAAATCAATCTATGATGTTTTAAAAGCTGAAGTTATGCTAGTTGATCTAGTTACTGAAATGAATTTGCCACTTGCTTCATTAGATAAATCTTCTAAAGCTTTTAAACTAATGTTAAACAATTTCAGTGCGGGAAATCGAAAGGGACAGCCATAGTTATAATAGTTAATTTAAGATTATTATTGGTTAAGCAACCGTGGATTAAAAAAATTATGTTCCTCTTTTTGGCTTTAAATTCCTCTTTTTCTGTTTGACTGTTCCTACTTTTGGTTGCCAGGGGTAGGCATGTCTGTAATTATATAAATTAGCTAAACAGTCATTTAACTTTTCATCCATCACACCAAATATACAAATCATAACCCTAAAACTATTGTTTTGCGTGCAATGTTTAACGCCCTTGTTTCATTAGCTTGTATTATTTCCAGTATTCAAGTGCTGCCAACTGTATACTCAATGATAATGGCATGTACTGTTGTGGGAAGTGCAATTATAAAACCGATAGAAAAGCAAATTTTTATAAACATAGGAGGTTACATACAGGTAAATAATCGTCTGCGTATTCTTCTCTGTTTATTTTATTTTAATTTGCCATTTTTAAGTGTTCAACATGTATTTTTTTTTTAATCTATCATTACTGTTTATTTTATTTTCAGTTAAAATCACTTTTGCATGAAAAAAAAAGTTATCAGTTGGGACTGAAAAGATTTTTTCAAAAAATAATTATAAAAATTTTATTAAAGTATTTAATGCATTTAAAAGCCTAAATTACTCTTTCATTTGTCCTTCTAACTAAACAAAAAATATAATAATAATATGTTCTTGTTGTTTTCAAAGGGCTCTTTTTTCTCTAAAAGATTTTAACAATGTATACTTTTTCTGTTCTTTACTTTAGGCACAAAGCCTCATGTTTGTAGCATTTGTCAGTACAAAGCTGGCACAAGCAGCAATCTGAAGAGACACATGGGTATCCATAAGGACATTAGGGAACATAAGTGTGATACTTGTGGACTTTGTTTCCGCCAGAAGATTCACCTAGAGCGTCATGTCAAATACAAACATGAAGTAGGTTTTAAACATCACTAAAACCTTCAACAATCTAAATACTCTACAAAATTTTGATACATCTTTTTCTTGTGGAATATATTTTGTGATCACGAATTTCTAGAGTGAATTATTGAGAAAAATGATAAACAAACAAGTTAAGCTAGTAAAATAGCATTTACAAAGGTGCTTAAACTAATATTAAGACCACCTTCACAATTGAAATTCTCTGTCTCTATTACATCTTGATATAGAGTAATTTTTGTTAATTATTTCTAATGGGTCCAATTTTTCTTTAAAAATTTACTAGAAAATATACTTTACTATTTTTATAATTCTAAGCTGCAATTGTTTTATAACCTTGATTTGAACTTTTTTGAATTAAAGCACTTTATTTCAATTTTAGTTTATTTACAATGGTTTTTTTTTTTAAACTTTTGCAGGAGAAGAGTGTGCAGTGCCCACTGTGTGACTATGTGTGTGCCAATGAGCAGCCAGACTTAAAAATGCATATAAAGCGCAAACATTCCAGTGGATACCCATCTGAAGTGGTCACCTGCCCTCAGTGCAACATTGAAGTCAGCTGCAAGAAGGACCTCAAACAGCACATGAAGTTCCACAAGGATGGCCCGGAGCTGAAACTCTTCTGCAAGCAGTGCAGCTTTGTTACTGATTGTCAGAGTAGACTGAAACGGCATGTGGCCATTCACTCCAAGCTGAAACCTTTCCAGTGTGGAGTATGCAATTATAGAGCAGCACAAAAAGAGCACGTCCTGCGCCATTTAAGAACACAGCATAAAATTGAATTTAAAAAAGAGAGTAAAAGACGTGAGTACTGAATACACATTTTGTATCATTGTATGCTTTTTTTAATGATATATTGAAGATTTCCTTCTCTAACACAATTAAGTAATACATGTCAACATGTTATGTGCCATAAGACCTGTCACATCTGACTTCAGCCTTCTTTCATTTCTGGGTTTTGCATCCATTTATCAGCCTATCTGCAACTCAGCAATTGTTTGATTTGTTAGAATTTTCTCTCCTAGATGGGTTGCTTTATCCAGCTGACAAGCTTTATCTGCCTCGAGTCTAAGCTTGGGACCATGTCCCCAATGCACATTCATTTTAAGCCTCTTTTTCTTAATGCATGTAAAAAAAAATGTATATTTCTGCTGCTTCTTGTTATTAAAGGACTTGCAAAGTTTGATAAAAATAAAGATTTACTAATTAATTATAGCTAATGTAAAAACATATCAATCACAATCAGTTAACCTATAAATTTATAAAAAGAACTTAGTGTATTCTAAGATAAAAATTTAAATATTTAATTTGTTCAACTATTACTAGCTTGGAGACGACACAAAAGTTTAGACACGGATGACGGATCTAAAGAAAAGGCTGACTTTTCTAGTGGTGATAAAATATTTGCATGCAATCACTGCACCATGAGGTCAGTACAGCTTTAACTGCAGCTTTTTTAATTGAGCATTTAACTTTTGAAACTTTTTTATTAATCACATGCATGATTAAAGAATTAGTGCCTATTGTTTGGATCTTAGCTGTAAAAAATGTTTTGTTATTTTATTTCAGATTTGCTAAATTAATAAACTTATACAAGCACTTGCACACCCAGCATGTTGATATAATGCCAGCAGAAACTGAAGGAAATTATTACTGTGTCGTTTGTGAATTTTCTACTTCTTCAAAGAAAAACCTTCTGGTCCATATGAGAAGGTATGAATGCACTGAACTTTTTTCTAATTGTTTCTACAGTAAAGAATAATGCGGACATATTTTAAGTTTGACTTGTATGCAAATTAGTACTCTTTAATACTTTAAAATTATTTCCAGGCACAATCTAACTGACCATTAATCAAATACTTTCAGGCACAATCTAACTGACCAGACTTTAATCAAATATTTTCAGGCACAATCTAACTGACCAGATTTTAAAATATTTTCAGGCACAATCTAACTGACCAGACTTTAAATTATTTTCAGGCACAATCTAACTGACCAGACCCCTCCCTCCCATGTCTACTCCTGTGTGCTGTGCCGCTACATCAACCCCAAAAGACGCAACCTCTTTCAGCACATGCTGAAGAAACATAACATTGATGTTAGCACTCAGCTGGAGGTAGAAGATGGTGCATCACAAGATGCAGAGAACAGTGATGGAACCAAACATATCACCAAAATGCTGGTTTCCAAATCTGAAACTAACACAGACCCTACTGATATTAATGGAAAGGTAAATCTTCTGTTGTTTTTTTTTTAGACAGACAAATCCAAAGTTGTTATACTTCTTGTTTAGCTATTTATATTTCTTTATTTGGAAAGTATTATTGTTACTTAATTGGAAAGTATTGTTTCTTTATTTGGAAAGTATTATTGTTTCTTTATTAGGAAATATTCATTTTTCTTTATTTGGAAAGTATTATTGTTTCTTTATTTGGAAAGTATTGTTCCTTTATTTGTAAATACTATTGTTTCTTTATTTGTAAGTATTATTGTTTCTTTATTAGGAAATATTCATTTTTCTTTATTTGGAAAGTATTACTTTTTCTTTATTTGGAAAGTATTACTTTTTCTTTATTTGGAAAGTATTATTGTTTCTTTATTTGGAAAATATTATTGCATAGCACTCTGAGAGCAAGCTGAAACAGTAAAGGGCACAACCAATTTTTCTTTTCTTCCCCAGGGCCATGACTTAAATGGCATAGCACATCTTATCAAAATTGAAGACATAGCCCAGACGACCTCATCAGCAGACGAAGATGTACACAACTTGGTGATTGACACCCGAGGTGACGACAATCTGACAGAGGTCAGCCACACCGCTGAAGCTCTGGAAGGTCTTCAGGCCCTGGCTGAACAAGCTGGTCTCATTGACAACATCATTGAGGAACAGGTAGGTCTATCTTCCAGTGTTTTATAGTATCAAATTCCAGTGCATTCAGTCTTTAGATAGTAGGTAAGATAGGTTGTTATCTTTATTAGTTATCTGGTTGCATTTGTTTGTTGGTAAATGTTAGTTATATTAACAAATATCATTGGAATAATTTAATCTAAAATGTGTTGACAAATTTATATCATATTCTCAAAGAGCAGCAAATTCTTAGAACCTCTGTTATCTCAAAAAATTAGTGGTTATAGCTTAACTCCACTGGAATCCCAACCCTTACTGTTATATAAGAATATATATATATATATATATATATATATATATATATATATATATATTTATAACATGACTTTGGTGGCAACAATCTAATAGTAGTGTAAAGTTATAACAATGAAAATGGTTACACATTGCAGGTACCAGTAGTTGATGAGCAGCACATTGTGATAGATCCCATTACCAGCTCTGATGTTGTGACCACAGTGGACAGTGTCCAGCAGATGTTTGAATCTGTGGAAACAGCTGATGAAGGCAGTGCCGAGGTGACCTCAGGGGTGGAGCTGTCCGAGGACCAGCTCTCCAGCCTGCGGACTGGGGACATGGTGGAGATGGACGGGGAGCTGTATGTGGTGGAGCTTACCCAAGATGCCAGCAACCCAAACAAACAAATTCTTTCATTCCTGCCTGTGAATCAAACTTCTGTCACGCAAGAAACACACAGTTCATAGCATTGTCATTGACTCCAGGTGAATATCTGTTTTTTATGTCCCATCTTCTTAATGAAACAGATTAATGCAAAAGTATTGGGTAAATGACCTTAAAAATCATGTCACAAGTGTTAAAAGTTGAATCTAAGTTGTCATCCTTTGTACTCTTTTACTAGAAATGGTGCCCATCATTCCATAGTCATTTTAAACTAGCTCTAGATGGAATTAAGTATTTATTTATTAATTATCTGAGTCAACAAAACTTAATTCTAATCTCTGAACTGTTTTTGTTTTTTCAATTGTTTCACAGCTAAGAGTTGAAAGCTAATATTGCAGTGTGTAATAACTGCAATAGCAGCTGTAAGCAATATAAATATTAATTGTTGTTAGTAGTTTTAGATTTCACTTTGGTTAAAGTAAAAAGCTTCCATAAATCGAGTCATGTTTTCTTGAGATTTATTTCTCAGAAAAAAGTTGTTGGGGTTTGAGAGCACTAGATGAAATGTAAATATCACAATTTAAATTAATTATTTATCTGCCTGTTGTTGTTGGCAGGTAATTTATACATCCTTAAAAATCTTGATACCCTAGTTGTCTTTTTGGACAGTTTATTAAATTTAGATTAATTAATTTGTTTAATTCATTCATTACCACTTCTTAACTTCACATAGGGAAGCTCTTACAAGAATCTTTAACCCTTAAAATCAGAATGGGAAAAAAAGATCTGTCTGTTAGTTAAGCTTCATTTTGACCATTTGTTTTTTAAATAATTTTCAATTTCTTTAGATTGCAAATTTTTAAATTATGGTATTTCATTACATTCTCCCTCCATCTGTTATGAGATTTGGACAGAACATTTGTTTCACATTAAATTTTTGTCTAGTCTATCATTGCCTTAAAATTGTTAATATTGTATTAACTTTGTCATGCTGAAATGACATTTGTAAGTTATACAAGAATGCACTAAGTTGATATGTATGTATGTTGACATACGCTAATTATGATTTAACATTGTACTTTTCTGTGGCAGTAGATCTGAACCACCAATATTTTGTCGTCATATTTATTTGTTTATTTTGACACCCAGTTTTCATGACAGCAATGGTCATGAAATACTCAAACATCTTTTAAGGTTGCTTTGTTTGTTTTGAGTATATTAAAAAAAAAATGCTTAATTTTATTTTTCCATTGTTTTTTTGATTGGCCAACAACAATGCAGCAAATATTAGATCTATCTAACATTTGATTTTATTGTGGGTTGTTTTTATTTTTAAAAATATTGGTTGTTTAAAATACCCAGTTTTAGTTTCTCATTTAAATGTTTCCAACAAAACAAAACTAACTAATTAAGGAGTCAAAGTTCTTAATAGTGTACTTTTTCAGAAATTAATCTATAACAGGTATGCAAAACATTTGTAGCTTTATCTCTCTTTTGAAAATAAAGGAACTAAATTAAGTAAGGAGTATATCTTTTTAGCGAGTAAGATTTGGCTGCATTAGAGCAATATAAATTGTATATTAAAGGTCTCCACAGTAAGTCTAATTGTTACATCACATCAATGTAATTATGTGAAGCTTCCTAATCTGTTTTTTGAAGTTTCAGCTGTATATTATTTATGTATAATAATAAATGCCTTTTATTTGTAGCCATGTTATATACATTTATTGAGTGTTGTGTACAAAAACCATTAAAATTCAGCAAAATCAATTATAAAACTGTTTTATTTTAAAACATCTTGTATTGTCCTGTAGTAGTAGTAAGAGTTTCCTATTCAGTTGGTCATGTAAGTGTGTCAGATCCTAATTCATGTTAGATAACTTCTTAGTTCTTAATTATAGTGTTGGGATTCCCTCCAGCACAAGTATTACATGTCAACCTGTTATGCACGATATAGGCTGTGGACTTTTCTTTTTGGATTTGCTCCCATATCCAACCAAGGCAGCAGTTATTTGTTTTGGAGTTGTCTCTCCTAGATGAGTTGCTGTCCCTAGCTATTGAGATTCATCTACTCAAGGGTTCTAACTCAGGACTTTTTGCTTCACCAACCATGAGCTTAACAATTTTGTTCACTTCAATACAATTTTGTTGTATGAAGGAGACTAATTGTATGGCCACAGACCAACTGCCTGCCTATTATTAAACTTCCAATCCAGATTTTTTTTTTAAATCACTCAAGAAATCTACTTAATAATTTGTGAATAAACTTAATTCCAGATTAAGATAATTTCAGTGTATTTCAAGAGTACTACTAGGGCTAATGGGACGGAGTGGTCTAGCGGTAGAGAGTTCGAATCCGGGTTCAAGTCAGTAGACCGTCCCTGAGTCCACCCATCTCTGATAGGCACCTAATTCACGTTAGGGAGAGTAAAGGCGGCTGGGCATAGTGCTGACCACACTATCTCTTCATATGCCGAGGTCACAGAAACAACTGAACTCTACTTCACTTGCCCCATAGACCGTCAGGTTAGGTTTGAAAGGGAAACTTTACTACCAGGGTTATTTACTGAGTTTGATTTCTCAATAACTTTTAAAATCAATAAAAATAACAAACAAATGAGAGGAATAAAAATCAATTTTTAATCGCTTAGTCATAAAATTTAAGTCAATTGTATCAAAAAATCAATGCCACAATCATAGTTGTGCATTGTGGAAATATTTATTGATCTTTAACACTAGGAGAAGACTACTGTTTGATAATGTTGAAAGCAGCATAGTGCAATTTCTAACAGTGTGATTTGTATTGAAATTCTACATGCATCCTAACAGTTTAATAAAATTCAGAAAAGAATTTAAAAATAAATTAAAAACTAAACTTTTTCATCAAATTCTCTTGGTTATTTCCAACTGGAGCTTATTTACAAAAATTTTTTTAAAGTTAAACCTTTAATACAGTTATCATAGTTCTAAATCCTTAATATAACTGTAAATTTAAGTAAGTAATCATTATTGTAGTAGTACTGAATTATTTTTAGAGCAACTTTTCTTGAATGATAGTGGGATTTTAAAAAAAAAATATGAATAAACAAAGAAAACTGAATACACACATTACAACACCAAGCTCAGCAGCGTCGAAGAAGAAAATATTTCTTCTCAAACTTAACATTGCGCAAACCTAACATGATCTGAAGCAGCCAGACAGGCACATATCAATGAAATCATATTTATACAGATATTAACACTTAGCATTGGTAACCTTTTCTAAAAAAACAAAAGTTTTCACAGCCTCCAACAAAATACTTAGGATGTTGCTATACAACTCTTAATGAAAAAAGGTTCAAAATTGAGACAATGTTAGTAGGATAGTTTATGAATAAAGTTGTGAGATTACAATAAGAATATCAGAACAACAATTACAAAGGTGGATTTTTAAAAGCAGAATAGCAATTGAAATTTAACTTTGAGCGCTATTTTTTTCTTCATTTTCTTTTTAAATTATTTTTAGGGTTTAAGTATTAATATTTTAATATACATAAATGTGCTGCTTCTATAAATTGGTGTTATTAACCCATAATTTTTATAAAAATATAGTTTTAAAAGTTTATTAGAAGTTAAATCAACTTATATTCTATTTCCAACTCTTTTTAAAAATTCAGCCTCAGCTGTTGTAACTCAAACCAATATTTTTGTAAACAAATTCCCAGTTGAATGCTTTGGCATTCCATATTTTTGAAATTATTTAAAACAATTATACATAGATGTAATATAATTGTGAAAATAGGTAAATATTATTTACACAACAATTAAAATTTATGTGACAAAATGTTTTCAGTTTTTTCAAGGTTTTCATCTTCATCTGATCTAAATCATTTTGTACAAGTAATAATATTTATTTGGATGTACATGAATATATATATATATATATATATATAGGTATTTATGTAAGGTAATGAACAATGACAACAATATCAAATTTCATAGTAAAACAACAGTGGATCATTATAAAATATTTACATCACTGTTAAGTTTAAACAGCAAGAAAGGACAACTACAAGCCTTATTTCTTTCATTCAGATAGCTCAATACTTTGTAGTTAACCTCACAAAATTTCAGTTCAACAAATCTTTCATTGCTTTGGAACACCAAATACAAAATGCACTTTTTTTCTGACAAAACAAAACAAAAATACTAAAAAAACATTAAGTTACTAAAGTAGAAAATATCTTCTATTGTTACTATTTCTATTTAGACTGAAGTAGGTAAATGATAGTAAACATGCATCATGTATCTATTCTTTAAATTTAGACACATTTTTTTTGTACTGAAATTATGCAGCACAGCACAAAAACTGCTGAGAAATATTTCTTGAAGAAAATTTTTTAATAAACCTAGATTCTTTCTTTTAATAAATGAAGACTTTGCTTCAACTTAGACAGCACTGTTGGTCAACAGAGAGATTTTTGTAACAATTAATCAATTATGAGAATTAAAAAAAAAAAAACAATACTTGTGTCTGTTAGTTGGAAGCACTAAACGTCTCTTGCTAACTTTTTTCCAGTGTATTTCAAGGACAAAACGTCATCTATTTGCTTACACTTTTAAACCTAATCCCTTGAATACAAACAATGAGGTGGTTCTATTTTATGAACTATTTGTTCAGTGTGTAAAACAGTCCCTGCTACCTGACATCAAGTTGTACTCCATTGCTTGTGAATATGAGAATTTTAAATTAATATGCTGTTGTTTTTTTTTAAACAAACTCAAAGATTATTTATATTTCAAACTGAGGTTACAAGCAAGGATGAATACATGCTGATGTCTTAAAACATAAATGAAATTAGTCTAAGTAATATAAACAAAGCTGTTGATTAGAAATATATTACAGGTAAAGTGAAATATTCTATTCACTGGAATGGATAAAAGATTGTTTTTAAATGGAAGCTGTTTTGAGATTCAGAAAATCTGATTAACAACTCTCCTATATTCTGAGACACTAGGTTCTTGCAAAAGACTATACAAAGCATATTCTGCATTTCATATCCTTAAAAAGAATATGTAAATAGCTTTACAACGCACAAAAATTCCTTGATACCTGGATGCAGCACTATTTCTAAATAAAAGTTTTACTAATCTATAGTTATTATAAAATTTATTCTTATAAATCTGAATTTTAGTCAATTTTAAAAACTTCATTTTTTGATAATGGAAAAATGTGTTTTATAGATAATAATTCATAATTTTTTACTGTTTGTGTTAATAGGTTATAAAATATAGCTACCTTGGCAATATATTGAATAAAAATCCATTTACACAATAATATAAATAATAGTGGCTTAATAATAAAAATACACACAAGTGAACAAAGTAAATATATATTTTCAAAAAACCTTGTTTACCCATGTCTAAAAGGCTGAAAATCTTATCAACAGGAAAGTAAAGCTAGTAGTATATTAGAAACATCTAGTTATTTTTGAGATTGTCATTTTTATCAATGCTAACCCAAGATGTTTCCTTAATTTTAAAGAGAAGGATAAAACAGCATTATTTTGTTCATTCAGCTCATAAGTCCATAAATGGTGCTTTAAGGGGGTTATGCAGATTCAATCCCTTTGTTATCATAACTTGCCTCTGGAAAAAAACATTAACCATTTCAGTAAAATTTCTATCAGAATAGTTCCAAGAAATTAATAAATTTTTTACCTAAAAGTAACACAAACTTTAAAGATGTCATTTTTACAAAAAACAAGCATTACATGAAAAAAAATCCATCAAAATATAATCTATCAGCTGTTTAAATTTTAAAACATGCAATTTACTTGTGTTTAATCAACTTTTAACTACTGATCTATTTTTATAACTTAAACTGCCTAATGCCATGGTTTCCTTCATCCATCTTGTTAAATATATTTTATAGGTTTTTATTTAACATGCAAAAAAATGGTTATTACAGTGTCAGTAAATAGAAACATCTTATAAACAAGAATAATTCCCATTTATAATTTTATGATGTGCTCAACATTCAATATGAAGGTGTAATTAAAGTCACATAAAGAATCTTTTATTCAACAAAGTATAATCAAGAGGAAGCAAAAACAGTGAAGCATTTAATATTCAAATCCTTTTGTTGTGAATTAAAATAATGCATCCATTTACATTTTTCCATTAGGGTAGTGGATGTGGTAATTTCATTTTTCTGCAATTTTTTCTGAGATAAAATTAGTATAATATAAGTTGAGCAAAACTAATTTTGTTCAAATACCTAAGTTCAACTGTTTTTGTAGGCTTCTATTTTTTTCCCATTAATTTGTTATTACATATTTGAAGACAGGAAAGGTGTTATTAAATCAATTGATTTTGAGAAGGTAAAAGAGACAAAAAGAACATAGATCTAAACAGGAACAAGCGTCACCATGCAAAAAAAAAATTTACATTCAGACTTTTCTCAAATTGTAAACTAACCTTTGAATTAAAATATTCTTCATTGGATTCCAACTAAAGAAAATAGTATATAAAAAAGCTAATCCAAAGAAACATATAAAGATATCTTAAACAAAAAGAAAAGATTAAATCAAACTGTAACAAAACTAAAAATAAAAATGAACTCATAAGATTGAAGACAAACTTGCCTAAAAAAGTTGTTTTTTTTAAACAGAAGACTAGTAAAATCCAAAAAGCCTCAAGATAATGTTCTCATTCAAAAAGAAAGCTTTAAATAATTTTTAAATGACTGATTAAAAAATTTGAAAACAACAAACTATTATATAGATATAATAGTTATATACTTTTTTTGCAAACTGTCATTTTTCAGACTATGCTGATAGCTACAACAACAATTTAAACATTTATGTACCTATCATTTGTTAAAATTTGATGGAACCTATCAAGATGACTTCAGGTCAAAAAGGTCAACAAATTAAAAAGTTTCATCAACTCAAAACATGGTAATAGCTTACCTTTACTTAACTAATGAGATTAATTTTCTATTAAAAAACCAAGTTCAGCTCCAGTACAAATATTTGATAAATTCTTTATCAATACTGTAAAATGAATTTTAACACAAGAGGCTTCAATAAGGACTATGGTTTTTGGGTTGAGTATAGAGCAAACTCAACTGTTCAGTTTTTTAGAATTAAGCAGGTGCTCATTTTGCAACATACTTTACTTAGTTTAATTTCTTTAACAATTTTGAAAAAGCTTTAGATAAAAAATCCAACACAAATCTGGTACTTTAAATGTGTTTGTGCTTTTCTTAATAAAAAGTTGTTTTCTTATAAAAAGAGAATTTTATTGGCAGTTTTTCTAGCAAATCAACATTGCTTTCAGGGTCAAAACATCTTTCTAATTCGGATATTCAAATCACTAAATGATATTTGTCCAAATAAACTTTTGATTTTATATATTTATTTTACAAACTAATTAGAAAAAGAATAAAAAAATTAAGCCCCCAGTGAACAATAATTTGGAATTTAGCAATATTCAATTTTTCAAATCAATACAAAGTTCATATCAAAATACTTATTCAATACCAAGACAGAAGTAAAATGTAAATGGCAACTATAAATAGTTCTACTTATAACCTAGAACTTATTATAAAATTTTCATACTAGCCCTGATAAAGAAATTAACTTTTTCTGTTCTTTTACAATATCCAAAACTAAAATAAATCTAATCTATAAATTAAATATAAGCTACTGCAAGCAATTAACTAAAATACAGTATTTTGAACAGATGCTTATCATAGCCCCCCAAAGAAAGCAAATTAAAGCTAGCTTTGTTGCCCATTAAAAAAAAATGTGTTCTATCTCAATGCTCACCAGTAATTAAGTACACCAAAAATAATTTAAAATAATGTCTTATGAATATATATCACCCAAAAATGTTTATCCGACCCATGCAAGTGAGAAAAATAAAAGGGTTTGAATTAATATAATGAGTAATTTTAGCTTACAATTTAGAGAATAGAAACTTCAAAATTGAACTTTAAAAAATGCAGGAAAAAAAGTCAGATCTAGACAGCTAACAAAAATCTTAAAATCTATAGAATGACTCAATCATTGAATTACTTTACTGCTCTATTTTAGGACAAAAATTTTCTCAAAAAGACAAAATTCAGGCATGCATCATAGTTCGGTAAGTCATCTAGCATATAATAATCTTTATAAAATTTTGAGAACACGGGTTTCCTGATATTCTGACAAGTACTAAACATATTAACAGAAGTTAGGCATGATTATGGAACTGTTAATCATACAGAGCTCCTTGAAAATTAACAAAGGATTTTTTACAGAACGTAGATGAAATCTATAAAAACCAATCAGCCACAATATCTTATGATCAAAGGACCCAAGGAATCTTTTTTGAAAGTGTAGGCTGGCAATTAGATAATTAATTTCTCAGCCATTAAGAAAAATTTAGCAATTCACAAAAATACTTCTAACAGGATAAGGAAACTGGTGTAGCTATGATGACTAAATAAAAGTACTTTGATATTTACCATTGTCCCCCTCCTCCATCCATCGCTGTCTCTGTCCCAAAAGGCCGTCAGAGTCCAGGTCCACAGTTCGAGTTGGGTACGTCACTCCATCACCTAAGCTGTAATCAACAAAAAAAAAACATTTCATTAAATTTATAAAGACTACAATTTCCTTGTACATTTCCTAATAAGATTACTTCATCGCCATTAAATTGAAATTGTAAAAAAAAAAACACATGGAAAAATTGCTAAAGAAATTATACAAACCTCAGTACAATTAAACCAAAGCATAAACAAAGAAACACATATTACAGATTATAACAGTGAAATGATAAAATGTGATTTAAAAGATAGATGCTTATTTTTCTAAAAATAAAAATCCAACCCATTATTAATGTTATTACACATTAACCTTAAAATTATAAATGAAAACATGTATATTGATTAGTAAACAAATATTTTTTCCAATACACCACAAAGCACTAACGTGAGTTTTAATCACCAAATTTTTTTATAAACACAAGTAGAATACATATATTACACTATATACCTACACCTGCCTACAAAAAAAAAACTCACTGTAAATGTTTTTATAAAAACAAGAAAAACAAAAATAAATTACATTTACTCTCAAATTAAGGTCATATTCACTTTACTTCAAAACACTACTTTATTTAAAATCAAAATGGGGAAGGCAAATGGAGAGAATATCTTCTTTTTTTTAAATGTACTTAAAATAAAGATTTCAGAACAAAATTTATAAAATAATAGAATCTTTCTGTTTTGTTCATTATCTTCAACTAGAAAAAAATCGAAATATTGTCCTTGTTTTGTAAAAATGTTTTTTTAGATTGGAAATTCTCAAAATGTACAATTTTTGAAAGTTCAAAGAAAAAAGTTATTTCAAAATGACAACAAATCTAATCAATACAATAAATCTATTGGTACATATTATGCACTTGAGAAACTAATTAATTTTGCACATCAGTTATATGGTATCACATCTAAGAGATAAGCAATGAAAACAAAAAGGGTGAGGAAAAAAAGTTTGGTACAAGCTTAAAAAACACTGACACAAAAGCATGCTCAAAATTTGGTTAAACATGCACAACTGAAGTTTTCACTAAATGTAATTTTAAAAAAAAAACATACCTGATACTCCTATTTCAAACCAAGTCAGTTTAAAAACATTTAAACATTTACTTATCACTTCCAAGCACAAGGATAGAAAGCTTACTTTAAAGACATGTTGGAAGAATGCTTTTACTTAAAGATAAAAGCAACAAACTGACTCACAAAAAGTTTGTTTCTTTGAATAGAGGAAATAAATAAATATATATAAAAATAATTGATGATACTAACTTTGGCTCTGGTCTGGGAGTTGTTCCCATGGTGTTATAGGTGATTGTGGGTTGCAAACGCGATGCATAGGACACACCGTCCCCATGGCTGCAGACAAGGACATCAAAGAGCAAATTACTCTCCCTATTGTTCTACTATTCACTCCCTTATGAGCTGGCTATTTAAGAGCAAATTACTCTCCCTATTGTTCTACTATTCAAACTCCCTTATGAGCTGGCTATTTAGAAAGCGCCACATAAGGAACTTTTTTTTTTATTAATATTCATTCAATTCTGGTCCGGTGTAGTCCTTATTTGTGTACTTATTAAGTAATATTCAGTACTGATAACCCTGTTATAATAAAAAATCTATTCCTAAATGGAGACTTTAATTAACAAGTGACAAGAGTTCTCATAAAGGAGTTGAATTCAGCCACACACTCACAGTACTGTATGTTAAAATATCACCACACACCTTAATTGCATACATTATTTCACACTTTATTTACATATATCCAAGAACCATTTTAAATTTTAAGCACAGTGCTGGGGGCCAGGTGTCAGACAAATGAGGCTGCAGCCAAAGGTAAATAAATAACTGTGACATGCAATGTAAGCCACTCCTGCCGCATTAAAAGATGGCAGGATAGAACAGAAGAGAAGAATGATTTCATTAGTGCGCTTAACTTGTGGGCAGAATGTTTGCATTAAAATACTAGTCCACTAGAGAAGAAATATTAGCTGGCAGAATGTTTGCATTAAAATACTAGTCCACTAGAGAAGAAATATTAGCTTGTTGTCTAAGTACTATATCATTATCACTTTTGACAATCTAATAACTATTTTCTGATACAATGAACAAAAAAGTTTTTCTGTTGATCACAACAGAAATGTATGTGTCACAATCATGCAAATCCAGCAATGTCAATTTTTGCTGAAATTTAGCAACAATATATAATCGACTTTTACATAAATATCCACAAATAAACCCATGACATTATTTTAAATCACAAAAATACACTGGCATATTATTTATAATCCATTTAACATCTAACTATTTTATCTCTATTATTTGGTGATTTAAACTCACAAAAAAATTACTTTAAAATGTTATTTACTAAGTACTTTAAAATGCTAATTTGTTTAAGCTATTTGTATGAATTAAATGAGAATGAAGGCTGATAATAAACTTCCCATATTGCAAATTTAAATAAAACAAATAATAAATTCTCCAAAGACCAAGAAATAGAAAACCTGGAAAGCCATAAATTCTTTTAAAAATTAAAACAGTTAAAGCAACCCACATACCAAAGGAGGAAATGTTTTGAATAATTAAAAGAAAGTAAAGAAACAAAAAATCGACTATATCATCATTTTTATGTTATTAAAAATGTAGACATGTAAGCTTATAAAATTTACTTAGACCCCGAAAATAATATAGTGTGCTCAGGATTGAAAGTGCACTTTACAAATGACAAAAGCAAACAAAAGCTGATGGTTACCTGGTAAAAATTGGTAAAAACCAATGAGATTTTTTGTCACCAAACACCTCAGAGAAGTTTGCTCTGGATCCAAGGCTAAAGCCATCTTTATCAGCTCCAGTTTGAAATATTGGTGCTCGGAATGACTCTGCGAAAATGAAACAAAGTAAAAACTTATTCTACAACTTAACATGTGTTCCCATTCACTCGGTTTTTTAAAATAAAAAACTAACTTAAGGATATTTTTGCAAACAAATTTGATTTTGATTATGTGTATGAAATAAATACTTACCTAATGTTGATCTATTGTGTACAGTAAGAAATATATGGTAGCCGAACAATGAAATGAGGCTGATCCCAAACATCACAGCCACAAAAAACAGAAACAGGATATGAAATCTGCCAACACCAGAGGCTCCACCTCCCTAGTAAAAAAAAAAGAATTCTCATTGAGGCAAAACGGTTGAGGATGACATCAAGGTTCTTAGAATCTAACTTAGATAACAAATATTTCAAATAGTTTAAGAATTGTACCTCTTTTTCGATGACCTAGCATGGCCTTTACCAAAAATAGTAAATAATATAATTAAACTAAAAGCTAAGTATATAACTGTTTATATTGACCAAACTATTGGTAACCAAAATTCTAAAAGGTATCAGATCTTTTACTTACCGACCAAAAACTAATAAAATATTTGAGGGATGACAAAGCTACATAGAAGCAGTACAGCAAAGCATATCCCAAAAACAGAACAAAGAATTTGTAGTTGTGGAAACCAACACAATTATTCACCCTGAAAAAGTAGTAGGTTATAAAACATGAACAGAGCAACAATATAAAAAAATGTTTTTTTTTTATTTCAAGTACTTTATATGCATATGCATTATATTTTCTAATATCTCAACATGATTTATAGATCTATGATAAAATACTTACCATGGACAATGATGATCCATTTTTAGAACACATCTGAAAAAAGCCAAATAAAAAGGACATTATATTATTACTGTACCAGTTAGCAATATCTATATTGTAAGTCATTTTTTAAATGTTCTATCTAGTAAATAATTGCAAAAACTTACACTGAACAAACTGAACAATGGTGACACCTATCAGGTTTGACACACTTACATTTTTCACAATACCTGGGAACTGAAATAGTTAAGAGAACATAAATAATAATCACCAAAAGCAAAACTTACTTTTAAAGACTGAAGCTTTTCTTTACATCTGAATGAAATTTAAAAAACTTTAGCTCATCTGTACTGAGATTTTATTAAGGGACTGTCACGTGAAAACAAATCCAAATCTAACTCTATTTGGGCTTGCTATTTTCTCCATGGAGGGACACTCCAATATAAACTGATACAGAGTAAGTGGCTATTTTCCAGTCTAACCAGCTGACCATCCAAATGACTTGAGTTCTAACTAACTTTATATAATGGTTTACTTAATGGTCTTCCTAACCAAAACTTTCCATGTTCTAACATTTCAGTGAGGCATAACATCTTGACATGTAATAATTGTATTGTAATTTCCTCCTTTACAACTAAGAACACAGAAAAAGAAAAATTCTCAAATATCTTTTTTATTCTTGTAACACAAATGAATTTTTTAAACTTATAATTATTGCATTAAATTAACTAAGAAAAAATCTAATGATACTTACACCCAGCTATTGTTCTATTCTGTATAGGAAGTTTCCTTGCAAAGTGATTCAATTGGTCCTTCTGATTATTTTCATTGGTCTCTGATTCAAGATGTTGCCACTCTGTTTGGCTTAAAAAAAACTGGGGGTGGGGGAAAGAGAGAAAAATGAGTTTGAATTCACAAAAGGTTAAATTTCTGCATAAATAAATTTAAGTCTAATGTTACAACTTAATGGGTAAAAATTATTTCTTTGTCATATTTTTCTCCAATACTATTTTTACATAGTAATTTTAAGTTAGCTAAATAAAGTAAGCAGTAAAGTTCCTTTTTTGAACCAGACGTTCCATGGGACAAGTGAAGTAGAGGTCACTGTTTTTTTGACCTTAGAATATTTAATTTCCCTAACATGAGTTAGGTACCCATATGAGCAGGCTGAACTCTGAGAGGTACTACTGACTTGAACCCAGTTTCAAACTCAAGACTTTTAGGTTAGCAGTCTAGCGCTCTACCGCTAGGCCAAGCCGTCCCTCATTAGCTAAATAGAGTACCTTAAATATACAATTTTTAAAAAAAATAGTGTTTACCTCTTTAGGTGGTGACCTAATCTTTGCAAATATTGTCTGATAGTATGACCAAACAAATAAGAACAGGATCGGATGATAAAGAACTAAAAAAATAACTGGAAATAAAAGTGGAAAATATGTTCATTATATTCTAAAACTAATTACTTATTTAATGTCTTTTACAAATAATGAATTTTGAAAACATTAAAAATGACTAGACAACCATCTGGCAAACAACACATACCTCAGTTTTTATAACTACAATACAAATAAAGATTTAAATCAGTTTTCTGATTAATAATTATATAGTCAAAGTAAAATTTGTACTTTCAATAATAAATAAAAGATTTTTTTTTATAAGGTAGGGAGAGAAATCCAAACTTTATTTATTCATTCATTTGGCTTCTAAAGGGAAATTATCTAAATAGGTGTTTTCCTTTTGATTAACAGCAAGATATCAATTTGAAACATTCTTTCACTTTAATATCTGGATTTTCCTTAAATAAAATAGTTAAGGCTCGATGTATTGCTGACCTTGTAATACTGCTAATTTTTTTTTTAAATTGATTTTGTCAAACATTCAAATCCCGGTGAAATTAAGTAACATTATTTATGATCCTAAAATATTTAATACAATACTTGGTGAAAAAAAAAGCTTTGCTCCTAACATTTTTACACAACTGAAAAAAAACCAGAAGTTTAATCCATAAAGACAAAGTTTTACCTAACTTACTCAACTTACTGTTGTCTATACAGCACAATTAAAAGCAAATACAAATATATACCTTTAAACTTATGAAGGTATATAGCATTTTTTGTAAATCTAATTTATACTGAATTGTAATTCATTACCCATAATTCATAAATTAAATACTTACTTTTCTCTGCTATTGTATCAGCAGTTACTGAAAAAAAAATATTCCATAATATTATTAAATTAAATTATTAATATGTATAAAAAGTACAGTAAAAAAAAACTCAGCAGTATATAAAGAAACCAAAATAAACAACCCCTGATAGGACTAAACAATGTAATCATCATGAGTTTTTTTATTGACATATTAGAAACTGAGACAGCAACATGAACTACATTGTGACTTAAAATGTGTTTTAACACACTAACAGGTTTGAGATTTTGTGTTTTAAGGATAAAAAACTGAACATAAGTTAAAGGGGGAAATATTTTGAATTTTACAGATGTAAAAACCTGTATTTTTTAGCAGCATAGTAATGTACTTCACTAATGAAATCTGCATGTTATAGCAAAGATTAGTAGTGGGGAGAGGAATAAAACTTTGCCTAAAGCATAAGTCCAAAACAAATTGTATTAAAATATCTTCTGCTCTGAAGCTTTAAAAAAAGATCAATTGTTTTTCTTAAAATTGATAGTCTTGTTTTCATTTTTTTGGTTTACACTCTTCAGAAAAGTATAGGCCGGAGGGATGAAACTTGGCCTTGATTTAAAAACAAGAAGTCCAAAACAAATTGTATTAAAAATATGTTCTACTCTTCACCTTAAACCCCCACCCCTATCATATTATCATCATCACAAAAAGGCATATCTAAAATTACAGACTTCACTTGGCCTTTGAAGATGTCTATCCATAATGTGTAACTAAAAGTAACAATAGACCAAACTGAATGCTGGATCTGAGTAGCTGCAAGACTATGTGGATAGTGGTCAGAATAATAGCAGTCCTGGGTTATAAAATTAGTACTGTTCAAACCCAAGTCCAAGTAAAGGTTCTTGGCTATATGGACCCAGGTCTGAATAGGAATCTTGGTATAATTCGAAACGCAAAACATGAAATGGTGAGGCGTTAAATTGTGAGGAGAAAATGTGAGTTTTACAGAAAGAATCACAGGTAAATACTGAGACATTTTTTTTTGTTTCATGCTATTGGTTGTTTTTTTGTTTGTTTTTTTTTATTTGATCTACAATATGGGTCTAGATTTTTTTAAGATATTAAAAAATATGCCAATTATAAACTTGCTGCTCCTATGATCACTTGCTCAAGTTTTCTTGTCAGCAGGAGAAAAATCCTGTCTCTGTCAAGGGGTCACTGTGAGTTCAAACTGGTTTAGATGGCATAAGTAATAGCTTGGGCAATAGCTATTAGAAATTGTGATGACATCACTTTTAGGGTCATTGTGAGTTCATATAGATCTACGTTTCACACATGCGAGATATTTGTAACAATACAAACTTAACGCATTGCAGTTCTTGTAGGCCAAGGCTATTCCCAGCCAATTTGGAATAGCCGTATTGGGGCTATTCCCAGCCAACTGTGAATAGGTGAAATGGGATGGGTTTTTTTCATCAGCTTTTTTTTTTCCTAATATGCCAACAATTACATCGCAAATGAAAAAAAAAATTAACAAAAGTAATCCTTCCATGAGTAACTGGGAAAAATATTTTGATAATGAGAGGCATACATTAAGAGTCATAGAGATAAGGCATCTGATGGGTTTGAACCCGCACCTTCCGGCACGACAGCCACTCCCCATGTCCGCTTGATCATATCCTCATGCCATATAGGGTATTTTTTACATTAAATCTAGCAAAAACTGTTACGGCTATTCACAGTCGACTGTGAATAGACACTTCGTTTCTTGTAATTTACCCATAAATTTCAAGAGTAATAAAACAGTGAAATGGTGCACATTTGTTAGATCTAGGCCTATATCAAATTTGGATCTTTTCAAGTTTTGTCACAATTATCAAAAATAAACACTTGTAAAGAAAATAAAGAAAAATAGTAAAGAAAATAGTGTTTTCCTAATGTTTTTGTGTGTTTTGATTGTGTTAAATAAATAAACACTCAACTGGAGACTGGAGATGAACATAAGTTCAGGAATAAAATAACGTTAAAAGTTAAAATGGAGTTTACCCATTCCTCCACTTCGACCGTTCCCACTTCACCCCTTTCACCTAACAACCGACTTAAATGTCAACTTCTCATTTTCAAACGCTCCCCCACTGTCCTCACGGACTAGACTAGAGAGCTTCCTGGCTAGGCTGTGAGTTACCGTAAAATTAAAATGTAATTCAACCCCAAATGAGCTATAACCATTAAATTTAGAGTGTGTGGTTGGTTTTAGAGATAGAAAAATTGATGAATAATTAGATCTAGGCCTAATTTAAAATTTTAGAATTGTTGCTACTAAAATTTCTAGATCTAGATTCTAGTTTTCCACTAACTACTTTCTAGCCTTGACCCTCCAAAAATACGTGACTTGTGGTTTTAATTACAATAACTTTCAATAATAAATAACAGTGAAGAGTTATTGTATTACTCACAAATAGCCATTTGTACAACGTAAGCATAATATGACCACCCAACAATGGCAGATATAAAGACAACAGGGGCCCATTTCACTGCCTGACAACACAGGATACAGACTCTGGGGGCCATTTTTCCTGTTTATGATTCGGGAAACGTCATCAGAATATGTGCTCTCTATACTCCGGGTACGACTAAACCCAAAGATCTATGCCTATTTCATGAACGACACACAAAACATGGAACGAAAAAGATCGTGCATTAGCTGTAGATTTTATGTTCAGTATTTTATATAGATCTAGATCTAGATCCAATTCTATATTACATGAATGGAGTGGGGGGTAGCATTTTGATACTGGCCTATGTAGGTCTTATACCAAAGTAACTAGATCTATATAATGATAGTATTATTTGATGTATTCTTCCTGTTCATTTAGGCTCAAAATGGAGCAGGCAGAGAGTCTACCCCCCCCCCCCCCCGAACGAAATGGAATTTATATAGAAAACATACTTTTACCAGTGTCCGCTCCCCCCCTCCCCCGAAAATATCAAGCCCCCCCCCCCCCTCCCGGAGAAAAAAAGTCTGGAAGAACTACTGCACTGGAGCAGATGACAGAGGCATTTTGCCAACTCAACAAAGGATACCTTATAAAATTCTTGACCTCCCCCTTTGCTTCCTTTAATTGCGTTCCAGCGCTAGACCAGTGGTGTGATTAATTTGGCCTTTACGATGATGTGCCCTATCATATCTCACTTCGTTTGGGGTAGTTCATTAATGACGTCATACTTTTTGCCGATGTTCACCCCTTAAAATGAGAAACGGCTTCTAATTTTCGATTTTTAAAACTAGATCTTATGTTGAAAAATCAAATGTGTGTCGTACACCGTATCTAAGTATCTCCACCCCTAAAACGTGTGATGTCATGTATCTTATACCCCTCTAGTATTTCCTTCTTAGAGGCGATTGATTAACAGACCGACATTTTCCGGAATAATGATAACAATTTTCTCTGTAAAATGTAACGATAAAAATGCGCACCATGAATTTCAAATTATGAAAAAGGCATTATTGGCATTGATTAAGTTTGCAACTGATAACTTTTTTTTTTGCTTAACTTTGAATTGTGAATTAAAGGATTTCGGTATAGCCATTTCAATAATTTGGGATGTGATCTTACGGCACAACTGTAAATCGATATTATTGTAATCTACAATGTAGATCAATTTTATCCAGATCAATGTTTTTTATTCATTTTGTTACGCTTGTCTTTAAATTTTTTGGATAGATTTACAATTTAGACAGATCTTAATTGCAGATTCAAAGTTTAAAATATACTCAAAAGACACCTTTATTTATTTAAATTAAATAAATATTGTTATTTTTTAATTTATCTCATTATAATAGCATCTTTATAATTTTATACTAGCTATTCAAGAAATAAAAATTATTATCTCTGCCCCAGCAACCATTGTTGTATACAATATGGCGGAATCGCCAAGAAACAGGATGTATACAACTAAGCTAAGTCTAAGAAGTTGTATATTTTAAATTTATACTAATGAAAGAAACCGATTTTGTGAATAAAAGCCTTATGTGTGAGTAAATGAACATGATGTTGTAATAATATAAGAATTTTACCACAACTTCTAATTACATCTTGTAATTAGTAAGTTAAGTACAAGTAGGCCCTATTTATTATTTAGGTAATCTATCGTTTTGGGTACGTAAAATCGCCCGCGACTAGTAATGTGAAAAACAGGTGACTCCTTAAATTTTAATAGGTAATCTATCGTTTTGGGTACGTAAAATCGCCCGCGGCTATTAATGTACGAAAACGTTACCTCATTGTCAAGGCTGTAATAGAAGTATATTGTGATATGTTTGTGTCAAATATTATAGATAAATGAATAATAAACCTAAATCAATGGCTAAATATATCAATATAGGCCAGAAATTAACTTTAAACAGCTGTGTCTGCAAGCAAGATTTGCTATATAAACAGCAGCCATTTGTAAAATAGAGTGACTTCCGCCTGAATCTCGCGCTATATGTCTATAAAAATAAAACTTTAACAAGATGGCTGCTATAGTAAATGAGCGTGGTTGCATCTGTTGGAAACATCGCTGGTGTTCATTTATTACTGAAAAGTTTTAATTCAAATGTTTAAAAACAGGTACATAAATGAAACAAGGAAACATTTTTGTATTTTTCAAAACATAAATCCTCCTCAAAATGTGAAATAATTATTAAAATGTAAGGAGTCACCTGTTTTTCACATTACTAGTCGCGGCCGATTTTACGTACCTAAAACGATAGATTACCTTTTAATAATTATTTCACATTTTGAGGACGATTTATGTTTTGAAAAATACAAAAATGTTTCCTTGTTTCATTTATGTACCTGTTTTTAAACAATTGAATTAAAACTTTTCAGTAATAAATGAACACCAGCGATGTTTCCAACAGATGCAACCATGCTCATTTACTATGGCAGCCATCTTGTTAAAGTTTTATTTTTATAGACTTATAGCGCGAGATTCAGGCGGAAGTCACTCTATTTTACAAATGGCTGCTGTTTATATAGCAAATCTTGCTTGCAGACACTGATGTTTAAAGTTAATTTCTGGCCTATATTAATATATTTAGCCATTGATTTAGGTTTATTATTCATTTATCTATAATATTTGACACAAACATATCAAAATATACTTCTATTACAGCCTTGACAATGAGGTAACGTTTTCGTACATTAATAGCCGCGGGCGATTTTACGTACCCAAAACGATAGATTACCATTATTTAAAACTATTTATTAAATTAATATTAGTATTAGTAAAGTATTAATTATAAAATAAGCTACTATTTTACCACTAAATTAAAAGCGGTCAAAACATTTTAAAATAAAATTTAAAATATAAGTGCCTATGGGTCTTAGTCTTCATCACTCTCAAGCCCTAGCTATTAGTATTAGTATTAGCTAATGAAGAGTTATCGGGCCTTCCATAAATGACATCACACTCGTAGGGGAGAGGTGTCCGTAATTTTGTGGCGGTGTGTGATGAGGGGGAGGGGGGAGGTTTCAGATGGTGCGACATCACACTTTTCCATTATAAATAAACCGGGAGTGATCTCCCCTAAACTTTCTCGAATATTTTTATATAAAACTAGAATACCCGTCATCCGTTGGATAACTGTGGGTTTCGGGGGTCATCCATCAAAAAACATCACGTCTGTCACTCAGAGGCATAGCGACCCTTCCCGGCGCCCGGGGACAAAGTTTTCGATTTGAACCCCCCCCCCTCAAACTTTTGATGTGCAATTTCCCCCCCCCCCCCCCCCCCCCACACTCAAACTTTCGATTTGAACCCCCCTCAACCTATCAATTTATTTTTCCAAACCATTTTGGCGCCCCAACATATGTCCCCCCCCCCTTCCCCCCTCCACCTCCGCCTCCCCTTCCCCTCCCCCGCCTCCCCTCCCCACCCCCCGCCTCCCCTCCCCTACCGTCCCCCCCCCCCTCCTCGGTACGCTACTGCAGTGTCACTTATCGTCACAAAAAACAGACCCCACATTCAAATATATGTTTTTTATCTTTTAAAAACACCGAAAACACCGATTTCGGACTATCCCTTCATAAACTGACGTCACAGGTGACCTACTCAACTCTACTTCACCTGCCCAGTGTCCTGCCAAGTCTCAGACAACATGTTTTTATCGTTTAAAAAACAATTCCAGCCGAGCATGTATCTGACCACACTATCCTTTCATATGCTTAGGACAAAGAAACAGATGAACTCTACTTCACCTGCCCTGTATCTTGCCAAGTTCAGATAGGCAACGTTATCATTCACATCTAAAAAAAAAATTGAAAAAAAAAATTTCATTGACATATTGGTCTAGAACCCGTGCCTCCTGCATGAGAGCTGACTACGCTACCATTTTAGCTATTTACTCGTGACGTCACAAGTGAATTTTTATACTATACTATGTGTCTCCTTATGCAACTTGATTTACGCGTATAGATTCTAGATCTAGATCTAAAAATAAGTCTAGTAGTACTAACTTTCAAATTAAATTTTATCTTAAATAAGCCAAACAAAGATTTATATAAAATAATTAAGGCCTGAAATAGATTCTAGATGTAGAATTTACATTGAATCTAGTGACCTACATCTAGGCTAGATCTAGATCTAGGCTAGATTCATAAATTTCCTTCGATAGCTGATCTTTAGATCTAGAGAAATTTATCGTAAAACTAAATGAAAAAGACAGTTGAAAATTGATATAAGTGTTGGAACGTAATAAATACAGCAAAAGGACGTATTGTTTAAGTTATAGCCGGCAGAAAATTAGCTTTGTAACGCGTTAAACTTTTGAATGGGCCACAAAGTCTATGATGGGGTCCGCCATTTTTATTGTACCAAAAATGTAAACACATCAAGGGACGTCACTATCCCCACAAAGTTTATTCAAAGTATTAACATTTTTAAAAAAATACGGTTAATTTAACTATGAATAAATCAATAAATTAATTAACGTCTTTAAATAAATTTGTGATCAACAGTTTGTCTGCATTAAAAAATTATTCTCTACCTGCATACTATTTTACAGCTTTCCAGATAGAGTGGAACATATCACAATAGTCAATCAGGCAAACAAACAAATAAATATTCAAACATGTAAACAAACTTGACTTTTAGTAGTATATAGATAACAGGGGATGGGAACTCGGGCTATAGACATGATTTTTAATCCATTTTAAATACTTAAAGTTTTAAAAATAGAATAAAATCTCGTAGACAAAAGAATTGCACACGAGAACGCTAAATAAAAAAGTGCATAATAGTGCGCAATATTATTAGTACTTTAAAAATTAACATTAGTTTTTTGAGAAATCTGAAGTAGCATAAATTACTACTTCCGTTCAACGGAAATGACTCAAAATTTAACAGAAGGTAGAGAATTAGATCTTTTACTTACATGTGAAATTTCGTTTATCTATCTGAAATAGTACTCAAGTTATAGGCTTTTGAAAATTTCAAAGTAGGAAAAGTACCACTTCCGGTTATCGGAAATCGCTCAAAAGTTGATACGGATCTACGATTTTGATAAAATACTTATATATGAAATTTCATCAACCTAGCTGTAACGGTACTCAAGTTATCGTGTTTACACACGGACACACACACACACACACAGACATACGGACAAGATTGCAAAATTATGTTTTTCCGTATCAGTGAGATGTAAAACGTCGAGATTTGTAAAAATCTTGATTTTTTTTTTTTTGCATGATTACAATACTTTCTCTATACTTCGTATATACGAGAAAGTAAAAAGCAATGTTAGAAAATGAATTTTAGCCGTTATTTCACATAATAAATTGTAATAGGAATTGATTAAAATACTTAATACTCTATGACATAGAGTCTATGTTGACAGAGTTCAGACAAGATTTTTGGAAAATATCGAATTTTAAGAAAAACTCAATTGCAATTTTGAGGGGGGTTGTAGGCTGAGGTGTGATGTCACTTTAGGGGTGGGGGTCTGGCTTTTTGTGATAATGTGTGGCAGAGGGGAGTGGGGGAAGTCCAACAAACGTGTGACGTCATTTATGGATGACCCTTATTCTGCCAATCACATTCAAAAGTCAAATGGCATCTAATGAATATGGTTGACTAAAAGAATTATCTTTTTATAACAGTATTGTTGAAGTTATTAATATAGGATATCATTTGAACAATTGAAACTAATAATATAATTGAAATATTATTTTCTTAATAATTTTTTTTGTTGAAAGTGTGAAATTATAAATGTTCCTAACAAATATTTCAGCATTTATTCAGGTGTCCTTCATTTGAAGTATAACTCCTGCATATATGTGAAGGGGTGGGGGTGAATGGGACCTGCCGCCAGTTGTGAGGGTGGGGAAAACAGCACCACCAATTGTGAAAGTGGGGGTGATGAAAATGATGAAATCCAACACACAAGTTCAAGTCCAAACATAATGTTCTTTATTAAAATTTACACAATCAACTTCCTACCTAACTAATCTATACTGTACTACTACTAACACTAGCTAACTGTACCTTCCCATGACCATCCCTAACACGCTAGCTTTCTACCTAGCTCTACATAATTACGTCTGCTCACTACTACTACCTAACACCTTCTCTAACTGCCTGGCCTAACTGCTGACCCATGCTTCAGTGGTCAGCTGACCGTCCCACGTGACCGGTCAGCCCCTGTACTTTCATTGGTCTCTTTATAGCCTGTTTCTATTAACTTCTTCTACTTGACCTATCCGACCTAAACTAGCATCATCACAATATATTTCCACTATATGCATAAATTAATTTTAAAAACCTACAAAACTAGAAAAAAACTTCAAACTGTACAGAAAAAAGCTACAGGATTAATTAAACACTGAAAACCCTTCTTAAAACTTTCTTTCAAGAGTCCATCCAGTTTTTACATTTGAGAAAAAGGAGAATTTGTATTTGAGATCCGTTGTTGATCCCATTGTTCCATGATTTTCGTTGTTGTTCCATTGAGGCTTGATTTTTTAAATCCTAGGTATTGTGGGAAACAAAGTGGTTTCATATCATTGTGTGTGTTAGATTTGTACTAGTACTACCTGAATGCAGCGCTAACTCAAAAATTTCAAAAAGCGGACATCTGTGGTTTTTCCCATGTGGTCTTTATTTGAGTCCTAATGAATAAAAAAATTATACATTATCATCTGGGAATCATTGATACCCCATGCTTATAATTTAATGACACTTCACTAAGAAAAAAGGTTTTATGGCAGTCTTAGTAAATTACTTAACAACAGATGCATTATTTTGTAGTTATAACACATACTGAACTAAATTCCCTAGTTCTCCCTCAAACAATCTTATTCCTTACATTTCATTACCTGGTTCTAACTTTAAACTACAGTGCTGGATGGGATTTATCTTGACACCCCCTAGCCTTAATACCTTACTGTTTCAATATTGTTACCCACCCCTACAATTAAGAAGAAAATCATTTACTATCTGATAGACTATGGGTGTAATCCACCGAGTTGCTGGGGAAAGGGTAACAACTATTTTGTTTGGGAAAGGGTTAAGAAAGTACCTGTGGTATTATGATACCTAGATTTTTTTTTGTGTGTATAGGTATATGTTTTTATATTTATGTATTGCATATGCTCATGTTTATGCATTCCTTGCCTTATATAATATTACAAGCTATTAAATTTTGTACTGTTTATTTTTTTTCTAAAAGACAGCATTGCTATTTCTTCCTTTAGAAATTTTTTTTTCAAGTGAATGATGCAAAAACTCCATTAGATTCTAGAAAGAAAAAGTTATAATATGGACACATCTGTGGAAAGCAATATTTTTGCTCTTGATGTACACATGAAAAATGCATCTTCGTCAAGTAAGATATAATAATACTTTTATGTTACTTGTATTCATGTCCAACTTAAGCTAGGGTGTTGTTTGTCAATTTTCAGTTTATGTTTATTGAAGATAAAGCAAACTATTCTTCTTATCATAAGATCTTGACAACATACACCTGTGCTTTCATTTTCAACTACTTTGAAATGATGTAGGTTAAAAATTTGATAGTTCTATTTATAAATACATAATAAAAATTGCTATATATAATGCAATATATAAACAAGTAAATGCATGTGATAAATAGAATTCTATTGCTCATGTCTTGAAAAAAACACACTAATACATACAAGATAAAAAAATTCTTGTCCCTTTAATAATTTAGACATGTTTTTTATGCTTTACCAGGATTCCCTTAAAATCAATAATTAATAGACGAGACGTCTTTGATGTAGAAAATCAATTAAGCTGTAGGCTACTTTGCTGGTCACTAAAACTTTCATCAATTCTCTTAAAACACCATACTCATAAATAAAATGTATTTAGTAGTAATTTTAAAAATTTTTATATTGTACATTTTTTACAACTTTAAATAAAATGGAATTACATGAGTGAATATTGGAATATTTCTTAAATTAGCTCTACATGTTAGCCTCCATAAAATTTTATGATCTCATTATACAGTAAAAATTGTATTTCGTTTTAATATTTTTATGCAAAGGTTTACCCATTATACTGCTACTATAAAAATCACATGTATTTCTTTTTTCAAAGATGTCAAATTTGACATAAAATACAAGAACTCCCACACTAGCTCATCATGCATGAAACACAAAAAAGCGGGATGTGAAAGTAATGTCAAAGCCATTACTTCAGGTGTAAAGCCACAGCGACCTAAAGAATGGGAGTTAGATGTACGTCCCCTAATTTCTTCCAAAAAATGGCTACAAAATTATGGCCTCAAAAAAAATCGGCTTCAGTTAAACCAAATTTTACCAACTATTGGCTTTAAGATGAGTGATGGTAAGTGACCTTGGCGTGTGCATTTATTACTGTCACTAGCAATGTATTTAAAAAAATAAGGATGCAGCCCTTGGTGGTATGCATATAACTTACCCAGTTATATTTGCTTGACTGACATGCAATTATTTTTTAATATTTTTCTTAATAAAAAAGTTTATGAATTTTAGAAAATGCTTACAAAGTATCAAGCTTGAAAATTTTAAGAACTGTATTAGTTTACTAAACTGTACACAGACTGCTATAGAAAATGATGTTTTTAAATATTTTAACTTCTATTTTTCTTTTTATGAAATACATTTTGAAAGGAAGTGTGGTGTAGTGACGAAAAAAATTAGTCATTATCAGAAGCAATTGATTTGTTTGAGTCTACTATTTGTTCAAAAAACAATTTTACTTTATCAAAATTTGCTTTGACTTATAGAGTTTGACGAGTCCCTTAAAAAACCAGTTAGTTCTCGTTACTGTGGTGGCATGTTTCAGCAGCTTCTTAGACCTGATGGAAGAACATTTAATGTAAGTATTTTAATAAACAAGTCATTTTCCTAAATGAAGTCACACTCCTAGTCAAATATAGCATGATCTCATTTATGGATGAATATTATGGACTGAAAGTTTTTGTTTTACTAAATTATCTAGGGTAATTTTCCATATATATTTATATCACCAGTTTTAAGCATACATAACATATCTGGATTTTAATATGAAATATTGTGAATAAATAAACACTTCAGCTGTTACAATTGTGTAGATTTGTAAGACTCACTAACCTTCCATGTTTTAATCAAATTGTTTCTGATTAATTAGGTTAGCTGCTCCAAAGAGAAACTTATCCAGCTGGAAAAAAGGTTGACTCAGATTGTCAATCTTTTAAAAAGGAGAATGGAATGGCTAACAACAGAGAGCAGAAGAGTGTTTGGTGTGATAGAGGAAAGGTCAATTACCATTGTATTAGACATACAAAATATGCACCCAGAAGAGTTTGATCAGTATAAAGTAGCACTGGAAAAAGTAATTCGGGAACAGGTTTCACAGATAGCCAAGTTTAATTTAATCAGGTAAATAAGCTGTTTCCATACTAAGATAATTTAAACATAAAATATAAAGTTGTGAATTCAAAAATTAACGAAGATAACTGTTTGAGTAAATTAAAAATTAAAAAATTAATTATCTGAAATTTCTAAGGTGATTTTTTTTTAAATTATAAATAGAGCAAGTGAAGAGATACAACAGTTAAGCCCTGAATGTGTCCCAGTATCATATGACACAATTGAAAAAGCCATTGATTGGCTCTGGAATTTGGACAGAATGGCAGCTGTAGCAAAAACATCTAGCTCTGAGGCTGTGTTGAAGGCCTTTGCTGATCAGCATGTAAGTAGATCATGTACAATATTTTTAGGAGCTTGTGATGGGTAAAATCAACTCTTAACTTAATTTAAAATTTAAATCATAAGCTCACCAAAGTATTACAGAAAGAAATAGGTGGACTCCTAATTGTGGAATAGATATGGAACAAACCTTAAAATTTCCTTATTTTTTTTACTCACTGCTTATTTTTTTTTTTTTAAGTTAAATTTTTTTGTTTCTGTATATATTACTATATATAACTATTTCCAGACTGAAGCAGTTTACTTCTTTACAGAAAGCACATCTATTGAAAGTGGTAAAGAAATTCTTAAAGATAAAGTAAGGAATCTCATTCAATACACATTTGTACTTGAAAGAATAAATTGTCTTATTTTAAGATGTAATTTCAATACCATAAATACAAATTCAAAATAAAATAATTTATTCTCAAGGGTTGATAGCTTGCCTAAAGAAAGTTTGTCTTTTTTTTTATTTTAGAATAATTAATTTTAAAAAAATAGCATCCTTTTTATTATTGGCAAACAGCTTGTTGATTTAGAAATATTTTCCTCAAATTGATGAGAAAAGCCCATTTATCTATAAAGATTTCGTTCAGGCTTTTGAAAAATCTCCTCTTATTCATGAATTTCTAAGGTCATGAACTCACAAAGAAAAGTCCCTGTCCATGTTGTTTCATTCAATTGTGACTCATCAAGCACAATCACATTTCTCAAAGACTTCACAAAAATTACTGGAGGAAGGTAAGCCTATTCAAAAGTAATGTTGGCTGTTATTTCTTTACAACATAATATTCATCTTTTGAAACCAGTTATAATACAAGTATTAAATCTTATTCTATGCAATATAATTTTAAAACTTGTATTATATAAATAGAATGTTTAAAGAATAAGAAGATGGAAGGTTAATTTTTTAATGTAAAATAATTTTTCAGATTTCATGCATATGGGCTTTTAAAAGAGCTTGATGATTTTGAGGAAAACTCTAAAGATGGCCCTGTAAATCAAGCAAACACAATCCTTAAGCATAAAACCAGTGGTGGTTTGCCTCCAGGTGCAGGAGTCAGGGAAGATGTGATTCTTATATTTGAAGAGTTAGAAGAGGCTCGCAGTAATTTAAATCAGATCCGTTCACTTATTGAAAAAGCTCCTGAACCAAAAAAGAATAATCTAAAAGGTTAGTGACAATAATTGATTTTTAAAAGTGAAAATTTTTACTAAAATGAAAATTTTGATAGTGAAGTTATATTTTAGAGTTATGTATTAGCATTGCAAAGAGTATACCATAAACTTTTCCCTACCTAATAAGAGTTTTTCAATTTCCCTGTTTGTATTGCTATAACATTTTTATATATTGTCCTATTAATCTATTAAAAAATGTTTTATAATAAAAAATATTTTGACTTTAAAACAATAGAATTTTAAAAATATAATCTTGTAATGTATTGAAATGGAAGGTCTATCTCTGCAGCGCTATCAATTTTAAGGTTAAAAATCAAACACCAGTCAATAAATATATTTTCTATGAATCTGGAGATTAATTGAGAAAAAACAATAGTCGAAACCATTCATTAATTATCCTTTAAAACATACTACATTTTCAAATCAATATTTGTTTCAACAAAGGTTTTATTTAAACCTTTTTATCCTATTTAATTAGAAATAAACAGTCGACAATGTATAATAAAAAGTGAGTTTGATATTTTAGATGCAGCTGTGCCATCTCATTATTGTTTAATTGCTTTTCATATATAAACATATGCGATATTGCAGTTAAAAAATCACTAAATGCAGCAGTCTTCTTGATCACCTGTAAGTGGTACCTGGTTTACCTAGAAATTTTATTATCACTAGATGCATGATAAAATACCCATTCTTACCATTTATATTGCAAAAGTACATTTGTATATTTTTTAACACTTTGACAAGGTTTCATTTGGGTTTTTTTAAATTTTGCAATTAACTTAACATGTGTAAAATTGTAATTTAAAAAAATGTTATTGGTATACTTTTTATAATCTAAATGTACTCTGCAAAATACTGGTATATTCCATATTAAATCTAATTCATAAATAGAAAAAAACTTTTTTATAGTATTTGAAAATTTTTCATACAAAATTAACAAGATAATATTCAAAGGTTCTTAAAAAACAGCTTTATAAGCAGTCAAAAAAGGCTGATATTATGAATATAAATGAGTGATTGTAGAGATTTGTCAAAAATGTTACATAAAAATGCTTCACAAACTATTTGTAAATTTTTTCTAATAAAACCTGCTAAAATATCTTAATCTTTTTTTAAATATTTTGACACAATAAACTGAATAAGTGTAAATATCATCTACAATATATTGGTAAGTTAAATCATCCCTATTCTGGGAAAAAACTATTTTATAAATTTTGTCACAAGTTTTATGTTGATTGATTTTGTTGTGAATGATTTGTGTTTTTTGTAAGTGCATGCCTTTTAAAAAAGTTGTCAAAAATATCTTTAAAACTGTTACTAGGAAAAAAAACATTATTTCTCAATAATAATGTATCATACATTTTGTTCTTAAAAATTGAAATGTATTCTAATTTGAGTAGTCTGTTGCCAGTTGAAGACCTTTGTGGTTTTAGATAATATATTTAAAAAATTGCATATTTGAAATCAAGACAACATGTTAGTCACTGGGAAGGCAAATTAGTGGTGGTATGCGTTTGTTGAAACATTAAAATAAAATACAATTGTGTATATCTAATGTAATATGATTTTACAGTGAAATAATTGTATTAATTTGTAAAAAAAAAAAGATTTAATGTTTTATTAGCAAGTTTGTGTTTTTATGTATGGTTATAAATTTCTTTAATGATTAGTCCAAAAAAAATACATTTAAAATATAATTATACATTATATTAAATTACAGTAGATTATAGTTCTACTTACATCCTTCTATTCTACTGATATGACATAATTTTAAACATATCTTTAAATGTACTGGGTTTTTTAACTCAATATTTATAATCACTAAAAACAATACTTTAAAACTTTTGAGTTATTAACTTCTTTAACAATTTTGAACTGATACAAATAAGAATGTGATATTGGACATTTTTACTCTTTTAATCCTCAGTGCTTTATCATTTATTTTTTTTTTGTAGCATTGATTTATTAATACATGAGTATACAAAAGTTATGATTAAATTATTGAACTGATTTAGAGAACAATTGTTTTCTTTCTTTAGAGGCTTCCTTAGACCAACCAAACAGACCTACAACATTTAAAGAAGAACAAAACATGACATCTAAGGAATGGCTGGCTGTATATGGTTTGGAAGCCAGAAAACTTGCGCTGGATGACATTTTGTCCCGTGTTGCTTTCAAACATCAAGATGGGGTCATTAACTGCATGGTTCCATCAGAATCCCAAACAAATGCTGTAAGTTTGTTGTTTTGTAAAAGTAAAGTAAAGTTTCCCTTTCAAACCTGACGGTCTATGGGGCAAGTGAAGTAGAGTTCACTTGTTTCTGTGACCTCGGCATATGAAGAGATAGTGTGGTCAGCACTATGCCCAGCCGCCTTTACTTTCCCTAACGTGAGTTAGGTACCCATTTGAGTTGGGTGGACTCAGGGACGGTCTACTGACTTGAACCCGGATTCGAACTCGAGACTTACGGGTTAGCAGTCCAGCTCTCTACCGCTAGACCACTCCGTCCCACTTGTTCTTTTGTATCTGTGATAAAACAGTCTTGAAAATGTATATTTAATAGGTTGTTTTTTTTTTGACAATTTAAAGTTATTTCAAGCTTCTTCAATCAATCAAGTTTTTTTTTAATAAAACATTTTTTTTATAAATAGCTTTAAAATATTCAAAAATGTAAAAAAAGAATGTAAATGTATCTTTGCCCCACTTTTTAGCTAGTAACGAGCCATTATGTAAACTTAGTGAGCATTGTTTTAACACACATTTCAGATAATTTATCCAAAGCTAGTTAATGCTCGCTACTGTGAAAAGTTCCCAATAGTTAAATGGAAAAATGGTGAAGCAGTTCATGTTCAAGTCACACCAGAAATCTACAGGATGTATGAAGAAAGAGTCAATGTTGCACTGGATAAAGTACAACAGAGGTTTGTCCTTGTGTTTAATGCATCTCATCTACTTCAACCTGGCTATTCAAATGATAAATTAACAGTCTGATAATTTACTAACTTTATTCTTTAATATGCTTTGTGATAAATTAAAAATAACTTTTGGAAATTATTTTTAGGATTGATTGGCTGAACAAAGGCAGTAGATCATTATTTGGCACACTTGTGGAGGATCAGATTTATCTTCTCATAGACATCTCAGCCTCCATGAGACCAAGTATTGAATTTATTAAAAACAAGTTGTTTGTTCTCATGCAGGTAAACTTTTACATTCATATTTTAAACCAACAAAAAAATCCTGTATGATAAATTATAAGTCACCTTCATAGAAAACAGTTATAACTAAACAAAACCTATCATTTTAATTTTTATATCTTGCACCCATGCAATAACATTTCACTACCAAAAACTGTTCAAGAATGGAATTTGCTGATATTATAAAAAAGTATTTTTGGCTAAGAACTTTTAAACCAACATAATCTAAATTTTGATATAATAAAGAACAATCACCTCAACTTGTCTTTACCGATTGGCTTGTTTGACATAAAATCTTGGTTAAAAACTACTATTACATGTCAATCTACAAGTGACATAAAGAATAATTTCAACTTGGCGAATTGTTAGATCAGCAAAATCTTCCAATATCTTCATTTTTTGCTCAGTAGTGAAGTTATAACACTAGCAATAAAATCAGAATATATTATTATTATTATAATCATCTTTTCCAGTTCGTGCTCCAGACACATGGGGCTGGTGAAGTAGAGTTCATCTTATTCAGTGGGATATAGTGTGGTCATCCATACCTGTCATAAATGCACACAAATAATTTAGTTTTGATGTTTTAGCTGCCTTAGTTTCCTTAACATGAGGCAGGTACCCATCACTGATGGGTGGACTCTGGAATGTCCACAGACTCATGCTCACGATATGAATTTGAGAGTTTTGGTTGTAAACTCTACAATCCGACCACACGGACTCCTGACTATATATATTATATAACTAAGTTTTTGTAAATTGTTAAAGCATTATACTTCAACAACAGGAACAGTTGCGGCACAAGAAGAAAATCAACTTCGTCACTTTCAACTCAAAAGCCAACTGCTGGAAGGACAGACTGGTCGATGTGTCAGAGAGCTCGCTACAGAGTGCCTGGGCCTGGCTGCAAACTGTGACCTGCTGGGGCTCAACAAACACCTACGCTGCTCTACAAATTGCCTTGGGGGACCCACAGACCCAAGCTATTTACTTGCTAACTGACGGAAGACCTGACCAAGTAAGTACATAATCTAGGTTGTACATGTACCAAGTAAGTACACAATCTCAATTGTACATCATACCTAGTAAGTACATAATCTAGCTTGTACATCATACCAAGAATGTACATAATCTAGGCTGTACATTAAAAATAACTCTTGAAAGAAGAAATAATATTAATTTTACAATGTACCTTTTTTAGACCAACACTCCATTGTAAATAGTATGCCAGTAATTATTAAATCAAATTCAGTCTAATTTATTGTTGTTATTAAACAGCCCCCAAAGTCAATCCTAGCACAAGTCCAAATGAAGAAGAGCATCCCTATCCACACCATCTCCTTCAACTGCAATGATGTTGAGGCGAATCAATTTCTGTACAGTCTAGCAGCAATTACTGGTGGGAGGTATCATTACTTCTCAGAGACAGGGACACCTGTTGATGAACCCCCAGCCTGGCAGGTAATTAACCTTTGAGTAATCATTCTTTCAAGTTATCATTTAAATGTAAGTCTATGCAAATGAAACATTTTGATTGGGGGGAGGGGTGTAAAGCAAAAGCAGTATGAGTAAATGAATAAATATGTATTTAATAATAAAGTGTTATGCATAGCTTAAACCTCAAAACTAGATTGTCTGTGATAGTGAACTGAAGTGTGCATGTGTATGTCTTACACTTGACTTACTTGACTTAGTCCTCGTTGCTCCATTTCCTTCCATTTCATCTGATCCCGGCTATTAATTTTGCAATCTACCAAGACATCACATTTTGTTGAGCCTTTTGCAGTGTGTGCAACCCAGCGCCACTTCCTCCTTCTTTTTTACACTGTCATAGGCTCTTATCTTGCCTTTCTCCATAATTCTATGTTCGGCACTTTGTCCTGCACGTCAGACACAGATGCTGATTTAATCTGGTGTATGGGTTGTTACAGCAAATAACACCCTCTTATAAAAATATAATTACTGTCTGCCTGGTGCATATGTCAGTTTTTCTTAATTTTTTGAAGACAATAAGAATTAAAACTATGAACAGACCATTGCATATCCTGTGTTAAAACTTTTGAAAAATTTTAAATTATATTTTGAAATTAAAATATCTTTTGCATTAGTACAGTTTCTGGGCAAGTGTACTTATAAACAAGCTATTCATTTACAAAAAAGGACTGCATATAGCGAATACATGATAGATGCTGGATATCTTTTTCCTCTAATAATTTATTACACTTATTTTTAAATCTTTATTTATAACTTTTAACTCTTAAGAGCATGGATGTACAAGAGTTGAATGATGAAATCAAGCGTGGGCTTGAATATTTGAAAAAACTGGCTGACCTAAGGAACGAATGCGCCAGCTTGGGTTGGAGAAAAGAAGCTGCTCAATTGAGAAGTAGTCTACAATCTGCAAGGTGAATTTTTTTAATAGTCATAGTTATGCTTTAAATATTTTTAGTTTGTAAACCAGGTAGTTTATTGTAAAATTCTAATATATCTATGATGTTAAGAATTGAAAGTCATTTTAAAAAATAATGTGCACTATCACTAATATTCATACCAGAGAATCCCATGAGAGTTTCCACTTTTCGACGGGCTCGTTACTGGATCTTAAAGACAACTACAGGCCAGACTCCCCCGCCAGGCCTTCAAGCACACCTTTAACAACAGTGTCATCACCACACAGGCCCTCTAGTGCACCTACAACTCCAAGACCGTCCAGTGCACCTCCACCAGTTTTCTCTTACAGTCCTCGCCGCTTCCCCACTCCACCAAAAGTGAGACCCAAGTCTGCCCACACTCGCTCCCATGAAAAGCAGACGTCATCATCTGTTAAGCTCACAGCTCGCCAGAGATCAAGCCATCACACTTTTTCAAAGACACCTGTAATTGCTGGTAAGTAACAATCTTGCAGCACAGAAATTTTAACTCACAATTTAGTAAAAAAAAAAAAATATTTATAATAATACTTTTCCTAATATAATACTAAGTTTATTTCCTTATGTTTTTTTTTTAAATAATAAACTAAAAGAAATTCAGTTAAGCCTGAAGTCAAATTTGAAACATGATGTTCTATAAAATGTTATAAAGGACAAAAATGGCAATAAGAATATAAAATACATAATTAAAAACATTTTTAAAAATGTTTTATAAGATGCCTTTTTATCATATAATAGGAAAATCAATAGGAGATAGTGGTATGATTTTACTAAAATGTTGTTTATTTTACTTTTAAGTTTGTATGAAATGCTATTTTCTTTTGTTTATCATCAGAAATAGACCTCATGATAGTGAAATATGATTTCAGTTGCTTGCGCTATTGGTCTTTTTGTGGCTAAATATTTGCCTAATTTTGTTATAATGAAACAATTATAAGTCACTGGAAAAATTCACTATTAAAGTCAAAATTCTTTCACAACTGACACATTAATTCTAAGCTTTTGGCTAAGGTCCTGGCATCTCTTGAACTTGTTCATCTTCAACTTAGCCTTGCATTCTCTTCATACATACCCCCCCCCCCCCCCCTCTCTGTAAGTAACAAACAACCTTTGCTACTTTATAAAAAAGCTGTTCTTTAAGAATTAAAAACCTATATATTTGTCTCTATCAAGTATTTCTAATTTGTATACTCTATTATGTTTTATACTAAATTAAATCACACAAAAATCTTTCATAACTTGAAGTACATTCAGTCCCGTCCCATTCTTCACAAATGGTTTATAAAATTTAAAACTTTTTAAGTTGTTTAAGTTTGTTTTAAACTGCTACTGTTTTATTTTTTATTTTATAATTTCTAAAAGTATAATCAGCTAATTAATCAGCTAATTGTTTTTGTCTTATTTAAAGTATAATAAGCTTTTTTAATTTACTTAATATTTGCTTCAATATTTTAATATGTAGACTAATGTGAATAGCAAAATGAATGTAAATAATATTTTACTGCTTCTAATTAAACTTTGTATGATTTGTTTCTATAACTCATTCATTAATCTGTTTTGAGCTTTTATTTCATTTTTTAAAATGTAGCTTAATTTAAGCACAAACATTTTCAACTTTCGTAGTTACTTATAGCAATTTTTTTTGGTCAAATATTCGACAGGACATACTCGAACAAGTATTCTTAGGACACTGACCAGCAGTGGAAGATTTTCTCCTGGAGAATGGCTTTTACCAGAAACAAAATCTTTGTTTCAAATTCAAGCAGAAAGACAGAAGGAAATTACAAAGCGTAAGCAATGTTTGATTATTAAATTTAAAATGTGCATGAACATTTTTCTAATAACTATTATTTTCTGATAATAACTTTTAATAACAATGGCTTACTAAAATGTAAAATTCATAAGTCTTTTAGTATCTTCTTTTACTTAATTACTAAATTAGATGAAAGTTTAAACTTTTTTTGATGTTTGCATAATAATGTAACAAATATTAAACTCAAAAACGTAAAGTTTCCAACAAAAATTTTTTTTGCGACTGTGTAAAAAATATGTAATTATTATCATTTTTTTACTTTTACTTACCTAAAACAAAAAAATGTATCTTCTGTAGAACTGGAAAAGATTGAGAGCAAAAGAGAGAAAAACACCAAAAAACTGTTAGAGTAAGTCTTAGTAGCACATAGAATAATTACATTTTTATACTGCAGTGTGTTATGTTTTTAATTAGTTCCAACAATTTCCTTACACCTATACTTGTCAATACGTATTTAGTAACATGTGGTGCTAAAAAGAAATGTAACTATATTGAAACAATTTTCAAGTACCTACAAAATAGATATTATATAGATATTGATCTAATTTACTTAAGTACAGCATACTGCACCTATCCTCTCTACCCACATTGAACAGTGTTTTACGTACTTTTAGCAAGTAATTTTTAATTCATTTTGCTTTACAGATCTAAGCAGAAATCCTCTAAACAGTGGCTAAGTAAGCATGGATTAATTGCCCAACGTCTGACAATTTTAGATGCACTTGCCTCAACATTTGTGCCCCATAAACCAAAATATGTCTCTATAATAGACAAGCATGTGATGTCAAAAGTATTTGATGAAGTAAGTTAACCATATATTTTAAAAATAAATTTAAAAATCTTTTTTTTTCATAATTGTCGATCAGTTCATTACGTTTTAATTTTGATAAAATGACTTTATAAATCAGGATTCAATAATTCTAATGTTAATCTCTAATTATAAATAATTTTATTAGCTTTTTAAAATAAATATTCGAAACAATTATTTACCTTAACTTGATCTTTACTATATTTTCTAATTGAATATTGGTTTAACTGATCTACTTCTCATTTATTATTATTTATCTCTTTGTTCTCATGTACAAGATAATAGTAGCACATTTAGTTATTTGTAGGTTTTTAAAATTTAATTTGGTTTGACAGGATACACTAACCCACATTGATAAGTAAAAAAACTAGATGTGCATTTTAAGTAATTTTTAAGTAATTTCTTTCTTACCATTTTGCTCTTCTAGATTTTCCCTATAGCCCATGTGTCACGAAAGCAAGAAATAAAACTCGTCAATCCTAATGGAGTTGACTTAGTAATGTATGAAAAAAAATTGACAGAAGCTATAGAAAAATACAGAAAGTAAGATTATTTTTTTACGTTAATTTCAAAACTGATATTTTTAAAATAATTGTTCAATACCATTTATGCAATGTCCATTTCAGATTTAAAACAACAAACATATTCACCTAATAATTTGATGATACATTTCTGCTAGTTTATATTGACTATATTAAGGATAGACACTTTAGTTGTGTTAATTTTATAAAGTTTAAAAAAATATTCTTTTTTTTTCTCTGAAAATAAATGAAATAACGTTATATTGCATGTATTGCAAGATATCTTTATAAAAACGGATTTTCAACTTTAGAAACAAATAGCTTTTTATTTTATTATAAAAGCAATTTTATTTTAACAATTTTTCATTATTTTCAGACGTCTGAACAAAATAGTTTGGAATGCTCTACCTGCATCTGCTAGAAAAGAGTAAGCTCATTTGATTTCTATAACTTATTAGTATATTAAGTTCTAAGCTAACAAAGCAATGGAACAAGAAGTCATTTTTTTTTAAATAAAAATTAAATTTTTTTTATTTATTTTTAGATTAGTAGGCGAATGCACAGTCATTAATGATAATTATCATAAATTGAAACTTCTTTATTATTTAATTTCCTATCTTTAACATAAAATCTTAATATAAAATCAGATGTTTCTTTTTTAATTGTATACATGCCCTATTAAACAACATTTTATCAACATTTGAGAAATCAGATTTACACCATACTTTATCAATGACACAAACTTTTTAAGAAAGAAATTGCTGTACAAAAACTAATTTTGAAGGTTTGAAAAAAAAAATTTAATATTATAAATTTGTTTTAAATTTCAGATTTGATTCCGATAAACCATTTCAAGTTGAAGGCAATTGTGAAAAGCTCTTTAAACTTCTGGATGAAGCAGGGTGGCCAGTTACTAGAAAAGATATAACTCTTTTGAAGGATGAGATCACCCATGCTGAGAAATTTTTACACCAGTCCAAAGAACTTCGTAGGGCAGCAACAGGAGAAGATGAAGAAAATGAGGTTGTTGTCAAAGAAATGGTTATAACCCCCGTTCGAAACAGATCACAGTCTCCAAAATCCAATAGATCCAGCAGCAGCAGATCCAAGTCAGAAGGAAGCCCTGAAAGGTCTAGGTCAGCTGACTCACGCAAGTCCAGCATTGACAGCCTGGACAGGTCACGGTCCATCACACCAGATTTTCAAAGCACTGCACGTAAAGTAAAAGAAAAAGAGGTTAGTTAATTATCGTTATGGAGTGTTTTATGTTGAATGTTGCTTAAAAATTAGCATAAATGTTCCTAAAATGTTTATCAGTTTACTGCAAACATTGTATTTTCGACCGATGGCCAGTATTATGTAATTGAGTGATATGAAGCCTTTACAAATATGTAACTAGTTACAATAGTTATAATCTCTATCAAATAGTGCTTCATTTTAAAGTAATGATAAAATACCTTTAAATATGAAAGTTTTAGTATCTGTAGTCTCAAACTTATTCAGTTTTAAAGATTTAAATTGTAACATAACGTTAATTATATTAAATTTTAAATGTTGGATCTGAAAAGTGGTTATTAAAGAAACAAATTACATAATTATATAACTATATTGTTTATAACCCAATATACAAATGAATATATAAAATCTTGTCAAAAAATGCAATGAGGTTTTGCTATCTGAATTAGTTAAAAAGTAAGTCTAGAATATGTTTATGTTAACTCCTTGTATATTTAAAAAAAATTATTGCAACATGTTTTTAAAGTAGCCAAAATGTCTGTCCTTCTAAGTTTTTCATTTTTTTAAAACTTTTATTGTCTTTTTATAATAAATCTACATAGTTATTTACATAACAAATTTACAATATTTTCAACCCTGTGATATGGATTCCTTTCTTTTATTGTATGTTGTAAAAATAAGTTATGTTTAAAATCTAAATAACACATTTGATAGATTGCTTTTACGCTTGCTTTTTTTAATAATTTGCTTCTCAGCATTAATGAGTTTTTGTAACTATATACTTGTTTAACATTTTATTATACTAAATTACCATTTTGGGCTGCTAACACATTTTGCTTATTAAATCTAATTCTCATTTTTTTAATAAATTTTCTATTTCAAGTTAATTAGTAATTTAGATTGTTTTTCTATTTAAAAAAATTAAGATGATAAATCTGCTTATTAAATACAGTTTAAATTATGAGAATTAATACATTTATCTTACAACATATCTAATGTCAGAAATAATGAATTAGTTTAAATTTTAAAACAAAATCATATGTGCTTAGATTTAGTTGCGAAATGAGTTTCAAAATTGATTTTTTCCTCAATAAAAATTTTTCAATTGTAAAATTATGGTTTAATAACAGACATTCACAATTTTGAAAAAGAAAGCATTAAATATACCATTAGCCATGATAAAAGTTGATGTAAATTAAGTTTTAAAAAAAGCTATCATTTTGGAGACTTCACCTAATATGCCTTTGTCTATGCACTGGGTTGTTTAAATCTCTTGCTTTCATCACTCATGCTACTAATTTGCATTGTTTATTTTTTTGCTTGGAAAATAATCATTGGTGTGATGTGACTTTACCACATGGCTTTTAGTCAAAATAACAATATATTAAAGTTTTTCACATAAGCAATTAGTCAGATGACATTGTACTATTCCTCTGGCCTGCAAATAAATAATTCATTAAAGATTTTAATTAAAACTACATAAAAATATATCTATGCTAACAATGTAATATATTTCCAATGCTAAAAAAAAGGCATATCTCAATTAAACTTGTTAAAAGTAGTTTTTATTAAACATTGTTCAGCCAATTAGCATTCCTAACAAATTTTATATAAGGGTTCATTCATAAAGGATATCTCTCACAGTTAGATTAATTTACCCCCCACTCACTCAACCTTTTCATTCCAATCATATCAAAATGCTAAACACCCCCTCAATCAAACCCTTTCAAACATGATGTCACAAAACTCCACAGCAACTTAAAATGTACACTACAACATCATAAGGTAGCACATTATAAGAATAGTCTGACAACTCCCCTTTCCCCAACATCTCCGGTTAGTGTGTAACATCTAATTTGGACATCCTGTTTGATTTTTTTTTAAACATATTTTTTTTTTCTTCTGCTTATTTAATCTGTTCTGAAGGGAGTGGTTTTTGCTTTTTTTTTAAATTTGCTTTGGATTTCTTAGAAATATTATTTGCCAGTTTTATATAAAAGCTAAATAGATTTGAAAAAAATTTAACAGCTAGAAATAATTCCAATACAATAATAATTCCAATTCAAAAGTTTGTAACTGAAAAATGTAATAAACGGAACTATTTAAAGATCATAATTGGGTTTTTTTCAGTTTGTTGCATGTTAACAGTTAAGTTTGTGATTGTTTCATTCAAAACATCAAAGCAAATAAATTAAATTAAGCCAAATACTTCCTTCAATTTCTCTATCTTTCTCCTTTTTGTTTTTGCAAAAATGTGTGAAATAAACTAACCTAAATGAAACAGCTAAAAACATTTTTACCCTGATCTGCATCGTGTTGCCACATGGCAACATACCTACAAAAACAATATCCTATAATTTTTTTGACAAATTATCCATATAGTAGTGATCTAAGTTCTACTCATATGATAAACACAGCATAGAAACATTTTTGCATGTTCAAAAAAATGTGCAATATGGGATTAAAAAAGAATCTTTTGTTTTTTAGGCCTATCCCAATTTTACTAAAACATAGATTTTGAAAATATGGAAAACCACACCAAATGCTATTTATTTTATGTAAATTTATCAGCCTCAAATGTTTGAGCTGTAAGGGTCTACAAAACGATGTCATGTTGTATTCCCTTGAATATACTGAATGTGCTTAAACATTATTTTAATGTTATTCCTTAAAAATAATTCAAGGAGGTTGCCATTTCTTCTTGTTTTTTTTTTAAATATGATGAACAAAAGCCCTTTAATTAATTTCTTTTATTTTTTATTTTTTCTATTAACAATTTTTTAAAATCTTTACAACCATCTCAACCTTGTTTTACTGACACTGAAATGTTTTTCTCTCTAAAGTTTTGCTCATCTATATCCTTATTTTTTCTTTATTTTTTTTTAAACTAAAAAGATTCTCAAGGGGTTAGTCAGATTTTTGCTTGACAGCCATTTAGTTTATTGGAAAGTATATGATTGTGAATATTCACAATGCTCTTCACTCCCTCCCACACATTTTACCACTTGTGTCATTTTGTATGGTGCTTTTATTTTACCCAAATGTGAACAACCACTCACACACTCTCAAAAGTATGTACTGCTGCACTACGTGTTGCTTTAAATATGGCAAGAGCTTTATTGAATGCAAATGCTTAAAAGCTACCCTTGCCTTTGACGTTTGTCTCATGCTTAGGATTCAATTTGCTTGAAATGTTGTTGGAAAAGGGGGGGGGGGGGGTAATTAAATGTGAAAAACATTAATGTTTTAAAAGATAAGCATGTTTGAGTTGGAATTGGTGTTTTTCTTAGTGGCTGTGCTTTAAAAAAGAAATTGAATTTGCTTTTAAATAATGTAGGTGAAACAACTATAAAATCTTCTGGTTATAGTCCAACCATTCTGTACAGAGGAAATAATAGTAACAATAATGTAACTGAAAGGACAGCTTTATAATATTTCTCTGTACCACCCCCTACCTTATTTAACACAGAATAATGAAATGGCACACCACGACATTAGATTATAAAGTAACACGCTAGGTAGTGTGTCAGTCAGATTTTCCCTCAGTATTGGAGCTTGGATTTCGTCGGTGTAGAGAAGAATATGTAGGCTAATGAAGGTTATTGGCTATATTTCATGAGATTATCATATACGATGCCTAAGGAAACGCACAAAACAATTTTATTCACCTTATACCTCATCATTGGCCTGCTAATACAGGGTCAAGTCAATGCAGCATCTTTTTAACAGACGTTTAGCCTGACGGCTAGTTTAATATATAGATGGCCCTGAAGTTGACAGAAGTGTCGCAAGAGTCGATGTCACTTGCCAGCTGGTGCTGTGGATTGAGGTAGATTATGAATACAACGGAGACAGAAGCCATGAGTATGTAAACAGCTTTAATTGTTAACCGGCAAGGTCGGAAGTAGAATGCACAAGGGACATCACTCAAGATAACAATATTATAAATATAACTAATACAGAAGAGTGAGTTCCCTTGACCTCACAATTATTTCAATCTATTACATCCCTTTACCCTTAGAACACAATAACACATCTCTCAATAGAACAATTGATAGTATCCTAAAATCACCAATTATATTGTAACATGAACACTATGGTAGATTACATCCTTACAAACAATGCACAATATGCTACAACATAATCAAATACAAAACAATAATGTCAAAGTCCTTTTGACCTTTAGAATCATAGGTCTAACTTATTTGGGACCTTGATTGTCCTGCATGACCTTCTCAGTAGCTTTTGATTTGGTGACTCAAGATTCTGACCATCTGGATTCTCTATCTCAGGAGGTCTAGGATTTAAATCATTAACTCCAGAATTTACATTTTCTGACTCCAGACAACTTGGTTCACTCATATCAACAGAACTTGGTTGTGGAACAACTGAGTTGGTGTGAACTGATCAGACTTGGTGGGATTGACAGATTCACACTTATTATCTGCACAAGTTATTTTTAACTTTATAAGGCACAGGTCCTGTACATTGAACAATTTGACCTGGAATCCATTTTTCCTTTCTCCCATAATTTCTTAGATACACATTCTTATTAACACCAAATTCTCTTTCAATGAATGTTTGTCATGATCTAATGGAACTATTTTTGAATTGGCATCTGAAAGTATTATGCTGTTATTCAGATCCTTGACTGACATAGATTTCTTTGATTGATCAATTTTCTCAGGTAATCTGATAGTGCTTTCCTGGTAATCAAAAATACTGTTTAAAAGTAATATCCTCGACTATATCACTTTGCAACTGTGATCCAGTATTTGAAGTGGGTGTATTAAATGGCAAAAATCTTTTTTCTTTTCTTTTGATGTTACCCTTTTAGTTTCTGTAAGTGCTAATGATGTTAGCAAAGTTGTTTGATGATCACATTCCTTCTTACTAATGTATTTTCTTTAAATTAAAACATTTGAAATTGCCATATCACCATAATCATTTATTAAGTTACAAATACTTTGTTTAGGCAACTCTGACTGATAATGGACTGC